TACAAAATAAAAATTAAAAAAAAAAAAAGACAAAGAAAAGGGAGAATCTTGAAAGCAGCAAGAGAGAAGTGACCCATCATCTACAAAGGATCCTCAATAAGATTATTAGCAGATTTCTCAGCAGGAAAGAAAGGCAGTGGGCTAACATATTCAAGGTGCTCAAAGAAAATAACTGTCAAACATGAATCCTATATCTGGCAAAATAGCCTTTCAAAAGCAAGGGAGAAATTGAAAGGACACTAGACAGTAACTTGAAGCCATATGAAGAAATAAAGATCTCAATAAAAGTAAATACATGGGCATTCATGAAAGCTAGTATTACTGTAATAACCATTTGTAACTCCACTTTTTGTTTTCTACATAATTTAAGAGACTAATATTGTAAAAGATTATTAGTTCATGCTTTTGGGCACAATTGTATAAAGATGTAATTCTGTGACATCAATAACTAAAATGGGTGGGGTTAAAGCTGGAAAAGCACAGTGTTTTTCTATGTTATTGAAGTGACACTGGTATAAATTCAAATTAGAGTGTTATAACTTTAAGACGTGAAATGTAATTTCCACATTAACCATAAAATAATTAGCTGTACAATATACACAAAAGGAAATAGAAAGAAATTTAAATATTTCATTACAAAAAATCAACTAAACACAAAAGAAGACAGTAATGCAGGAAAATGAGGGACAAACAAGCTATATAAGGCATATCAACAAATAGTAAAATGACAGAAGAAAGTCCTTCCTTATTGATAATTACTTTAAATGTAAATAGACTAAACTCTCCAATCAAAAAACAGAGATTAGCAGAATGGACAAAAACACACGGTCCAATTATATGCTATCTACAAGAGACTCCCTTTAGATCCAAGGACACACACTGGTTGAAAGTAAAAGGATGGAAAAAGATATTCCATGACAATACCAACCAAAAGAGAGCTGGGGTGCCTATATGAAAATCAAACAAAATAGACTTCAAATCAAAAAAGGATACAAGAGACAAATTGACAGAATTGAAGGGAAAAATAGACAGTTCTACAATAATAGTTGGACTCTCACTCTGAATAATGAGTAGAACAATCAGACACAATATGTAAGGAAATAGAGGACTTGAACAACACAATAAACCAACTAGATGTAACAGTCATATAGAACACTCTACCTAACAATAACAGCATACATATTCCTCTCAAGTATACATGGGACATTTTTCAGGACCATATGAGAGGTCTTTAATAAGTTTGTGGAAAGATTTGTATTATCTTTTAATTCTATTTTTCCATAAACTTTTGGAAGTACCCTGGTATGTTAGGCCACAAATTAAGTCTCAATAGATTTAAAAAGATGGGTATCATACAAAGTATCTTCTCCCATCACAACATAATGAAGTCAGAAATCAATAAAAGAAGTACCACTAAAAAATTCACAAATTTGTGGAAATTAAACAAGTCTTAAACAATGGGTCAAAGAAGAAATCAAAAGGAAAACTAGTATATACTTAGAGACAATTAAAAACAAAACACAACATAAAACTTATGGAACACGGGAAAGCAGTACTGAGACATTTATAGTTATAAATACACTAAAAAATAAGATCTGAAATCAACAACTAATTTTACAACTTAAAGAACTAGAAAAAGAAGAACAAACTAACCCTAAAGCTAGCAGAATTAAAGAAATAATAAAGATTACAGCAGAGATTGACAAAACAGAGAATTAAAAAAAAAATAGAGAAAAATCAATGAAATAAGTTAGTTCTCTGAAAAGATCACCAAAATTGACAAAACGTTAGCTACTCAACATCACTAATCATCAGGGAAATACAAATCAAAACCACATTGAGATATCATTTCACACCATTTAGACTGGCTGTTATCAAAAAGATTGAGAATAATAAATGCTGACAAGGGTGTGGAGAAAAGCAAACTCTTCTACACTCTTGGTGGGACTGTAAATTAGTACAGCCATTATGGAAAACAGTATGGAGGTTTCTCAAACAACTACAGGTAGAACTACTGTACTGTCCAGCAATCCCAATACTGGGTATATATCCAAAGGAATGGAAAGCATCATGTCAAAGGGATACCTGCACTCCCATGTTCATCGCAGCTCTATTTATAATAGCCAAGATATGCAACCAACCTAAATGTCCACTGACAGATGACTGGATAAGGAAAATGTGGCATATGTACACAATAGAATACTATTCAGCCATAAAAAAGAATGAAATTGTGCCATTTGCAGCAACGTGGATGGGCTTGGAGAAAACTATGTTAAGTGAAATAAGCCAAGCACATAAAAAGAAATACTGGTAAAGCAGTTGCTTCTTCTATTACTCTGGAGTGGGTTTTGAGGAGAGAAATGTCCTCTTCTTTTTCTGGTCTTCACTGGTGACTCTCCTTGTGTCCATGCAGTTGAGTGTCTAACAGGCTGCCTACACGGTGGCTGTGGCTGTGAGCAACTTTTTCAGAAGCTGTGGCGGAGGCTATGATGGGCCACCTGCACGGAAGTGGTGTTTTTGGTGTGCTCTCTTTCTTCCAGTCAAAGGGGGATGTGGCCCTTGGCTCCTTGCCTAGGACCCTGGCATGCACTCTTGCCTGCTTCTGGGCAGAGAAGGCTGTGGCTCACGGCTCCTTGTCTAGGACACCAGGTGTGCACTCTTGCCTGCTTCTGGGTGGAGGGGGCCGTGGCCCCTGGCTCCTTGCCCAGGACCCTGGGTGTTCTTTTTTATCTGCTTCCAGGAGGAGGGGGCTGTCTGAATGTATTTAATATCATTGAACTATACACTTAAAATGGTTAAGATAGTAAATTTTATGTTATGCGTATTTTAACACAATTAAAAAATTGGAAAAAAAGATATTATTGGGACAACTGGCAAAATTCTAATAAGGTTTAAGGATTAGGTTGTTATTACTATACTGATGAAAATTTCCTGATTTTGATGAGCATATTGTGGTTATATAGGAGAATGTCTTTTTTTGTAGAAAATAAATCCTAAAGTATTTGGGGTGATGGAGCAACTTACTCTCAAATGATTCAGGAAGAAAAGTTTTTTGTACTATATCCTCAACTTTTAAGCTTTTGATTATTTTATTTTATTTTATTTATTTATTTATTTTTCCTTTTTGTCTTTTTTCGTGACCGGCAACGGGATCGCAACCCTCGGTGTCACGCCCGCACTGCGCTCAACCAGTGAGCGGACCGGTCTCTATATGGGATCCGAACCCTCGGCGGGAGCGCCGCCGCACTCCCAAGCGCCGCACTCTACCGAGTGTGCCATCGGGCCGGCCCGCTTTTGATTATTTTAAAATAAAAAAATATATACACATACATACACTGTGCAGTTGAGGCAAGAAATGTCAGTGGACCCAATTTAGCCTGCCAGTTTGTGATGCAAATGCATAGATAACTTTTAAATGATTAAAGTTGCTAAAACTAAATGTTAATTTACTAGGCTGTTGCTACTACATAGTGTTCAAAGGACACTTTCATGCTAAATACAATTTATTCATTCCTGTTACACTGCTGTCATGACTAAACCTCAGCAACACAATCAACTACTTGTGACAGATTAAAACACATCAGAGTTCATAACTCTGGCAATTTTATAGATTCTTATGTGATTTAGTCTTAGTTTGGTAAGATGTTATAATATTGGCTTTGTGATATTTGTGGTATATTAAGACTCTTAACATGAGAGGTTGGTAAAAACATGATTCTTCAGCCTTAGTAGTAATCAAAGAAATACAAATGAAGATATTTTTTTCACTTGTCAAAGTTACAAAAATTACAAAAAATTTCTAATATTTAATTTCTCAATTCCCTAATAATCACAGAAATGAACATTAGGATGACCTGTTTTGTATTCATCACAATCACAAAAATTAAAAACATTCAAATATTCTGTGTTGGTGAAGAAATCAGCAATACTTAAACTGGCCAGGTGTTTTGAAATGTATCTGGGTAGTAACTCCCAAACTTTAATTCACATATCCCCTAATTGAGCAATTCCATCTCTAGAAATCTCTTAAGAGTGAATTAGTTGTACATGTGCATAAAAGTTTATGCAGAAATATGTTCACTGACAGCAAGATTATGGGAATAAAGAAAAACCAGAAACTGCCTAAATGTAGAATCATTGGATAGTGTTGAGAGGGAGACTTTTAAGCTTATCAACATATATACATATATTACTGGAATCTTTGAAAAAAAAAATAGATTATGTAATTTATAGAAGAAAAAATGTAATTCCTTATTATTAAAACCAACTAAACCATTTATAGAGCTTTGTACTTTATCATCAGTTTTTATACATCTTATCTGTATCTTACTGCATACTGTGATCAGAAGGGCAGGTAGTACAATCATTACCATCCTCTTTTAGAGGTGATGACTGAGACTCAGAAAGGTCAACCATCATACCAGGCTATACAGTTTAGTAAGTGTTAAAGCTTAGACCTAAGCCTATTTCACTTGACTCCAAATCCTAATGGTAGCTTTTCCTATATCTAGTTCTTGAATGCATCTTATTAACCAAAAAGTCTGTTTATGACTTCACGCTTAAAAAGCTATTACAAAGAATGGGTATTTCTCCAAAGGTTTTTGTCATTCTGGTATAAAAATAAGTGACTGAATGAACTGTCTAGAGATAAACTAAATTTATAAGCTAAGTTGGTTTCAGTTGTTGCTGGGAGGTAACTAAGGTTTTCTTGATTTGAGGATGATGTCAAGATGACTATATCCTGTTACTCATTCTGGGGAAGAAAACTACCAAACTGCTAGAAATGAACTCCTAGAAGATGGGAGAAAACATTCCCATTCCAAAGATCCTTACTTTTTAGGGAGTTACAATAAAGGAGCATATACATTTCTTTTGTTTCATTGATTACCAGTCCTCCAAAACACAGGTAGTAGTTGCATGATCCAGAACATACCATCAGGAAACTGGTCAGCATCATCATCAAACATAGCTTCCTTGAGAGCAGACTTGTTGAAGGGACTGATGGTATCTGAGTAGTTATATGGATTATAGTCTCGAGAGCGTGGAGAGGAGTGGGCAGGCATCGAATGGAGCATTGAAGCTTTATTATCAAGAGCTGTTTGGCTTGAATCAGGAGCATCACCTCCTGCTCTTGGGTCAGACATCCCAGGACCACCACATATCTATTCGTGGGAAGGGGAAGGCACAGCAAATTAACTCATTCTCAAATATCACTTTAACATGATAAAAAGATGTTTCCCTATTGCTTAAAAGGCAATTTAAGGAAGGTAACAATAACCAGCTGAAAAAAGTTAAGAAATGACAATGAACATTATGAGTTAAAATTTTTATTCAAGGGCCGGCCCGGTGGCACACTCAGTAGAGTGCGGCGCTTGGGAGCGCGGCGACGCTCCCGCCGAGGGTTCGGATCCCATATACAGACCAGTCCGCTCACTGGTTGAGCGCGGTGCGGGCGCGACACCGAGGGTTGTGATCCCGTTTCCGGTCACGAAAAAAGACAAAAAGGAAAAAAAAAGAAATAAATAAAATAAGTTAAAAAAAAAATTTTTTTTTTATTCAAAATATCAGAGGTTACAGTGAAGATGTAAAGAAATCACAGCTGTGTGGGCAAATAAGAACCATAAAGGAATGCTGCTTCTAATTATTACCATTCCCTTGCCAATGGCCTGACCAAACAATATATACAACGTGATTAACAATAGCTTATCCATGCTAGTTAAAGATACAAAAGAACTTTCATTAGTAACACAGAACCATTATTAAGGTAGCAAATTATACAATGATGGTATTTTAACAATGTATAAGAAAACCAAATTTAAAAAGGTCTGCTTTAAAAAAAGAGAAAGGCTTAAAAGGCCTGCATAACTTTTGGAAGGATGCCAGAGAAGTTTGGTACATTAACATACTTACCAAAATATCAATACTAATACTGATATGAATACTGCTATCAAAATCATTACCACAAGTATCACCATCACTACCATCTACTGAGCAAACTAGGTGCCAAGCCATTTGCTAGGCACTTTACAACTACTCTTCAAATATTTACTGTGCACCTTTTACATACCAGGCATTGTTCTTGGAACTATGAATAGATTAGTGGACAAAAGAGAGAATGATGTCTACCCTCATGGAGTTTACATTCTATTGGAGGGACAGAGACAAAAAACTTAATGAATAAGTAGAGCACATGGTATGACAGAAGACGATTAATATATGGGGAAAAAGGAATAGATAGTGCTACATGAAAGGGATCAATGAGGACTGGGATGGGAGGTAGTCTGCAGGTTAAACAGGCTGAGCAGGGTTCACCGAGAAGACATTTGAGCAAAGACTTGAAGGAAGTGAGAGAATTAGCCATGGGGTTATCTGGAGAAAGATTGTTTCAGGCAGAGGGAACATCTAATACAAAGAACCTGTGGCAAAAGCATGTCCAGTAAGTTCAAAGGACAGCTAGGAGGCCAGTGTGTCAGGGGCAGAGTGCACAAAGAGGAACTAATAGGAGGTGAGCCCAGAGAGATAACAAGGAAAAGAGTCTGTTGTGTAGACTTTGGCTTTCACCCTGAGACAGGGACCTTTTTAGAGTTGTGAGTAGAAGAGTAAAAACAGACTGCATGAGGCCAAGGGCAGAACCAAGGAGGCCAATTAGATGCCACTTTAATAATCCAGGTGAGAGAAGTGATGTTGATGATGGCTCAAACCAGAAAGGCAGTGGTGAACAGCAGTTGGATTCTGAATAAACTCTGAAGATGGAACAAACACATTTCCTGACAGACTGGGTACGGAGAATGAGAAAATGGCAGGACCCAAGGACAACTCTTTTGTCTAACATTTTTGGCTGAGCAACTACTGTTGCCATCAACTAAGAAAGGGAAGAACAGTTTTAGGGGAAAAGATCAGGAGTTCATATATGCAGCTAAATGGATAAATGTGGAGCTCAGTAGAGAGGTCTGGGCTAGATAGATGGAGTCATATGATTTATTACACTCACAGCAACTTTTAAGATAGGCAATAAGATCCCTATTTTCCTAATGAAGACCCTGAGGCTTAGAAATGACAACCTGACTAGCTAATAACTGCCAGGAACCAGGATTTGAACTCACTTCTATAAGAATCCACTACTTGAGTTCCCCACCCTATATATTGCTGTTTCTGAAACAAAACAAAACTGAGTCTCAATTAAACAGTGATTCTTAGTAACCTGTTATTCCTATCACATGCTCTCTTTAGGGTAGAGAACCTCAAATATAAGTGGTAAGTTGGTTTTTGACAGCCAGTTTACTAGGCCCACCACAATCTAGCTCTACCAGATGCGCATAGGTAGAAAAACAACAGTAGGAAAGAAATCAGGAAAGCAGAGGAGCAAGCCCTTCAGAGATTGCACTGAAGCAGTACAATGTTCTACAATCTCTCAAACATTGAGAAACAAATTCCATTGGAAATGGTGATATGGCTTGTTTTGAAAAATGTCTAAGCTGTCAGAGAAAAGACAATGAAGCAGCAAAATAAAAAATAACTACTCTGTGTATAATGGTGGAAGCAACAAACTAAATAATAATATTCACATATGTCAAAAATATAGGTCATAACATTCCTAATTGGAGCCACATAACTAGTGATGTAAATCACTTTCACTACTCTTAGGGGAAAAAAATCTAAACTTATTTTGTTTTACAAGACTCATGTATTCTGGTCCATGTTTCACCACTCCTTTCTTTCATAATGCTGCAACTACACTTGCTTTCTTCCCAGGTATACAGTTTTCTCTTCCATGTGTCTTTCTTTGCACTTGCTAATTCTTTCATGGAATTCTCTAGGATTTGTGTGGCTTTATTTAGTTCTTAATGCAAATGTCACCTCCTCCTGAGAGAGGCCTTCCTTGACCACACAATCTAAAATAGATTCACTTTCCTCCAAGGCACATTCTAACCTAAAACTCTATAGAACTCGTCTCTGTATCTAACACCCAAAACAGTGTCTGGTATGTCTTAGATACTCAGTAAATACTCGTAGAGTGACTGACCCCTAGAAAATTATATTTGAAAATGACAAACATCAAAATATAAAGAAAAATACTCTGTGAAAAATAAAATAGTCTGCAATTTAAGAATATTCAAATACTCACTGAATCACCATCATCTTTTTTAGAATCCCTTTTCAATGGTTCGTTCATATCTTCTTGACTACGGAAGCTGAAATTCTGTATTGCTTCAGTAACACCTCTAAGAGAACTATAAATATCTTCAGAGTTCATATTTTCTGTGTCATAATCAAATGCACTATGAAAAAGACAACACTAATTTTTACTTACATGTAGTTTTAAAATACAAACATATTTGAGGAGATTATGTAGGATATTTATAGACAGGATTAGAGAATGTATATTTCCCAAAGCATGATTTGCAAAATAAAACATGACAGCCATAAATGGTTAAAGTACATGCCTCCTTTAATCTCACCACCAAGGAAAGTTTATAGTGATTCTAGAATGCACAGCCCTTAACAACTGGTTTGTCTTTCTACCTTCAAAATTGTTTTGATTAACTAGGGGTCTGCAAATTATGGAAAGCTTGCTTGCAAGCTAAGAATGTTTTTTACATTTTAAATGGTTAAAAAAAAATCAAAAGGCTATTTCATGACATGAAAATTGTATAAAATTCAAATTTCAGTGTCCATAAATAAAACTTTATTGGAACACAGCCATGCTTTATTTATTTAAATATTGTCTATGGCTGTTTTCGCACAATAGCAGAGTTAAGTAGTAGTCACAAAGATCACATGGCTTGAAAAGCCTGAAATATTTACCACTTGACCATTTACAGAAAGTTTGCTAATCCCTATGATTAAATCACCATAATGGTACTACTTGAAAAAGAGATAAATTTACACAAATTTATAAGAAGGCAGAGAATTTTTAACACTGAACATAAATGTTATTCGTATGCATTCTAGTCAAATTAAAAAATTCAACCAAGGCTGAAATTTAGTCACCAAAATTGTCACATATGCATAACATGGAAAAAATAGGCTAGAAGATATGTTTGCAATATATTTTTCTTAGACACTGATCCAAGTATCCTATAATTTTAATGATAATCAGATGAAGCATGCTATGGTATATGGCTAATAAAAATCAAGCTAATAACTATACATATGAACTATTATGCAAACTATTTTTCGAAAGGCCAGAGAAAGGGAAAAATTATAAAATATCAGTCTATTAATGATGCCAGAACTGCACTGAAATACAGCCCACACTTGCACAGTGTGTGAAAATTATACGCATCTTATATTTTGTGTTAAAGATCAATCTCTCAGTCACATTTTTTTCTCATAAGTAGACAATGTCATTATACAATCATTATACACTTAACCGTTCCCTATTTGTTCTTCTCTATTTTTACGTTTTGTTTGTAAGTTTAATTTTTTTTTCTACTTTAAGAGGTGGTTGGTCAAAATTAGATCTAAATATCCATCATTATAGTTGACCTTACCATTTATACTGAGTAGTGTGATGTAACTGAAAGACACCATTTCTATTTACTGGATTTATATAGCATCTCTGAGGCACATAACTATGCTACATATTTAGTGCAATAAACAGTAATTTATGAAAGCTGTGTCTGTAGGTTTTCTTTTCACTTACAAAAAAATTTCATGTCCTATATATGACTCTCATTTAAAGGGTTAGCTTTTGAATAAATTTAAAATTTTTTGAATTTGCTAAGTTCCTACTTTCCTAAGACCTTTCAAGTCAAGTAGAAATTGATTGGAATTATATTAATACCTGCTTTTCTAAGAACAGGAATTTGCAAATATGACCATGATGGAAAATTATCTTTTTATTACCTTGGAGATAAAGTATTCTGTGATGTATTGGTAGGAGAAGTAAGAGGACTGGACCAGTTGGCTGGTGATCGTGGTGTTGGTCTTGTCAAAGGACTCCCCATGGAACTCTGAGGGAGGGAGTCAAATACGTATTAACATATAACAGATAAGTTCAACTAAAAGGCTCTTAAGGAAGCCATACAATCATGAGGTTGAAACATATGAAAGAGCTGTATTTATATGTCAATATTTTAATGTTCATGTTCTTATGTCTGGTTTCTAGGGGGACTATTTCTCCCTATTCAGAAATCTATCTCTCTGGTCTTTTTCTGTTCTTCTTACCTGCTTCCTGCTCTCAAATATTATCAACATCCTTTCCCTCAAGAATTGAACAAGATCCTAAACTAATAATTTAAAATTAGCTTCCTGTTCTAAGTCAATTTCTTTCCTCCAACCATTACTAATGCTCAAATTTTATTCCTCCTTGAATTTGCTTTACAAATGATTTTCACAAAAACACCAAGGGAGTAAAATCTGGTCTTATTATTGATGTGTCTATCTGAAATGAAACAATCCCTTCTCCTTTTAAAAAGATAAGTGACGCTGCTTCACAAGAAATTGTTCTCAGATTACTTTTAACTCTCAGACTTTACCTTAAGCCTGACAACAGCACATCTACATTCTCCTTTATCTGTTATCAAAGGCCTCTTTTTCTTTCTTAAAACTTTAGTTCAATTCTTTAGGCATATTATGTAAATGATTTCATATCATTTATTTACATTTATATACATTTATAGAGAGCGAGCACACGCACACAATGTTTCATTTACTCAGAACTTACTTCCTTAAAATCCTGTATACCTGCGCACATATGGACCAACAAGCCTGTAATCATCAAATGTGAACACACTTTTTTAAGCACTACTCTTTTGAACCTTATTTGTTAACCCCGGAATAAGATATCCCAGCTAGTCCTCAAATAAGGACTAGTTCATCTCAACAGCATGTCCTAATTTTAATGGTTTCCAAAGTTGTTGCCCTCATCTATGTTCTGCTCATATTTGGCTTTCCTTGTTCATATCCTGGCCACCATTCACAACCACCCTTATGTACACAAATTATAAACATGGCAGGCCTAGGGACTCTATTCTTTCCAAGACAATATTTAATTCTGCTCAGGAAATGCTGCCAAATGCAGATGCAAAAATTATATACTAGGATCGAGTTTACTTCATGTCAAAATGGCAATTACTGTTAAATCGCCCATCACATTATACAATATAGCCAAGAAAGTAAGTGAGAAATACCTGGGTTCCATTGCCAGTGTTTCGAAGATGATTATGAAGTAGCTTGGTAGCACCATCCTGAAAAGTTTTTGGTAAAGCTCCTAATAACATTGTAAACTCTGGGGTATTGAGTTCAAATAAAGAAATCAGCACAGATTGTGCTGCCTAAAAAAAACAAAGGCACACAAGAAGCAGATGAATATATTTTGGTTAATGAAAGGATACCATTTTCTCCCTGACATTTCTGTTCAATAAATAGCACAAGGGCTAGACCATCTTTTCCACGGAAAAGGAAGATATTCTCATTCACTTTCAAACTTCTTTGTTGAAAGGATAAAAACATATTTGATCTACTATTTAGTTTTTGAAGGTAAGAAGGGAATACAAAAAGTGTAATAAATATGACCTAACAAATAATGACAAACGTTAACCAGTTTCCAGGGTTACTCTGTCAATATATATTACTACTTCAGTTTTCCTAATCAATGATCACAAGGAGAAAGGATGGCTTTACAAAGACCATCCAGAGCAACTTAATCGTTTAATTTCCACTTTGTCAATATAGGACTCTTAAATCATCCAGCAATATCTCGTCTTCTCTCAAGCAGCTATTCTAACAAGTCTACATTTTGAAGCTAAAATAATTCTAATGTTTTGTGGAAATGGGAACAAAATAAAGCTTACTCAGTTCAGTTAAAGAAACTTATGAATTTCTTTACTTCAATAGTAGTCAACTGAGTTATTACATGTCTGTGTAATAACCGTGAAATTTAGATTATACAGGAACTTAAATGAGAAGAGAAAGAAACTCAAATGGCTCATGATCACATGACTTTTATACAAATGTGCACACCTTGTTCTGGACCTTTTCTGACCCTACACTACGAAAACCCAAGTGTTCTATGTTTATGACATCTGAATATACAACACTAGGGGAATAGTTAAATTATGTTATACTGGAACAATGAAAATACTATACAACCCAGTCTTTAAAGATAATATAGCTTGATTCATACAGAAATTGAGAGAGATCTATTACATACTGCTGAAGAAAAAAAATAAAACAACAGCTATAACATGAGCTTATTCTGTTAAAAACAACAAAGTATACATCATATGGGTGTATACTCTAACATGTTAATAGTGCATTTTGAAAACAAAAAATGACAATCTTGCATCTTTTCTTTAACCACATCATTGAAAGGACCTCAAGTTAATTTGAGCATATGAACTAATGATTGTTAACATATACTTTACTCCATCTACAGTTTACTTTGGTTTAGAAATACAGCTTTATTTTCCCCCTATGGACAGATAGCCCAACTTTTTCCAAACCATTTACCAATGAGTGCATCCTTTCCTCATGAGCTGAACTGACATCATGAACTAATCTCTTGTATAAACCTAAGTGTGTCTATACTCTTCTTTATGTTCCACTAACCTGTTTGTTTCTGTACTAATACCACATGATTTAAATTGCTATAGCTTTTTTTTTTTTGTCTTTTTTTACTGACCGGTAATGGGATCGCAACCCTTGGTGTCGCACCCGTACCGGGGACCGGCAACGGAATTGCAACCCTCGGTGTTGCGCCCGCACCGCGCTCAACCAGTGAGCGGGAACCAGTCTCCACATGGGATCTGAACCCTCGGCGGGAGTGCTGCCGCACTCCCAAGCGGCGCACTCTCCAGTGCGCCACTGGGCCGGCCCTAGCTTTAGTATATTTTGATTATTCCTTCATTTCTGTTGGTTTTTAAATGTTCTAATGTCACGTGTTTTACTTGATATATTTTATATTATTTAAAAATAACTTTACAAGTCGTTAAATCAAGGTGATACACACATTGGGTATTAAAATACCAAATAGTTTTGGAAAAGGTTTTATAATTCTCAATTCCCCTGTTCAACTCTCCAGAGAGTTCCCCTTTGTAATGCTTGTTTTTACTGATAGTTAGGCATTCACAGGCTTATACAATTATTTCTTGATTTAGCAGCTTGAGACATTTTCTAGTCATTTCCTACTATAACAGATGAGGACTTAGGTCTCTTTCAATATCAGCCCACCCATTCCATACTATTCTTCCTTCTACAGCACACCAACAGTCTCCTTTGTCACATAAGCCAGCATAACCTTTAAAAACATAAATCAGATCATATCATTCCCTTACTTAAAAAGGTGGCAGTAGTTTCTATAATCATAACAGTATTATTGTTCTTGGAATATCCCAAAATTTTAATTTTGATGCAATCCAATTTATCTATTTTTCCTTTTGTTGCTTATGCTTTGGTATCTTATCTGAGAATCCATTGCCAAATCCAAGGTCACAAGGATTTATCCCTATATTTTTTTCTGCAAGTTTTATAGGTGTAGATCTTACATTTTAGTTCTTTGACCCACTTTGAGTTAATTTTTGGATACAGGCTGAGGTGAGGGTTTAACTTTATTCTTTTGCATGTGACTATTCAGTTGTCCCCGTACAATTTGTTAAAAATTTGACTATTATTTCCCCATTGAATGGTCTTGGCACCTTTGTCAAAAATCAGTTGGACATAGACACATAGATTTATATCTGAACTCTCAATTCTTTCCCATTGGTCTGTATGTCTATCCTTGTATCAGTACTACATTGTCTTGATTACTGCTGCTTCACAAATTTTGCAATCAGAGAATGTAAAGTCCTTCTACTTTGCTCTTGTTCAGGGTTGTTTTGGCTGTTGTGGGTCTCTTGCAATTCCATATGAATTTTTGAACTAGCTGTCAATTTCTATAAAGCCAGCTGGATTTTAATAGAAATTACATTGAATCTGTAAATCAATTTGGGTAGTATTGCCATCTTAACATATTAAGTCTTCAGATCCATGAACATGGGATGTTTTCCCACTTATTTAAATCTTCTTGGCTGGCCAGTTAGCTCAGTTGGTTACAGCATGGTGTTATTACACCAAAGTCAAGGGTTTGGGTCTCCATACTGGACAGCTACCAAAAAAAAAAAAAAAAACAAACAACTTCTTTCAAAATGTTTTAGAGTTCCAGAATAAATGTTTCACATTTCCTTTGAGAACTTTATTCCTAAATATTTAATTCTTTTTGGTGCTATTATAAACAGAATTGTTTTCTTAATTTCATTTTTGGATTTTTCATAAGTGTTTAGAAATACAATTGATCTCTGATTTTGTATCCTGCAACCTTGCTGACTTGTTTATTAGTTCTAATAGTCTTTTAGTGAATTCCTTAGTATTTTCTACACATAATTTCGTGTCATCTACAAACAAATAGTTTTAATTTTTCCTTTACAATCTGGATGCCTGTATTTATTTATTTTGCCTAAGTGCCCTGGTTAGCACCCCCAGACAATATTGAATAGTAGTGGTGAGAGCAGAAATTCGTGTTTTGTTCCTGATCTTAGGGAGAAAGCATCCAGTCTTCTGGTTTTAAGTATGGGTGAACTGCGGATTCTTGTAGGTGTCCTCCATTAGCATGAGGACGTTCCCTTCCATTATTTGTTGAGTCTTTTACCATGATAGGTTGTTAGATTTTGCTAAATACCTTCTCTGTCTGTTGAGATGGTCATGTGGTTATTATTTTTCACTACTGAGATGCTATATTATAGATCAATTGATTTTTGGATGCTAATCCAACCTTGCATTCACAGGATAAATCCTACTTGGTCGTGGTTTATAAACCTTTTTACATGTTGCCAAATATGGTTTGTCAGTATTTTGTTGAGGTGTCCATATTCATAAGAGATACTGGTCTGTAGGGTTTTTTTGTGTGTGATGTCTCTGTGTGGTTTTGTTATCAGGATAAAACTGCTATCATAGAATGAACTGGAAAGTGTTCCTTCCTTTTCTATGTTTTGGAAGAGCATGTGAAGAACTGGTATTAATGTTTGGTAGAATTTACCAGTGAAGCCGTCTGAGCCTGAGCCTGGACTTCCATCTCTCTTTCCCTCCCACCCCCCCAACCTTGAAAGTAGTTCATTGAAGTGTCTCAGTTTCTAAACCAGTTCACCATGATGAAGTTAGATTTGCAGTGAGCTACAAATTCCATCACAGGGTCAAGTTCACCTTGTTTTAATGGGGAAGAAAAGGTGCACCAAGTCAGAGGTATACAGAGGCACAATGACATCCAGTACCTCAGTGACAAAATTGCAAATGAGTGAAATGTCAGTGTCCAGCTTCCCTAGACACTGTCGGATGTAACTGACAACAGGAAGTACATAACCTCAATACAGTAGGTGAACCATCCTGTCCAGCAGGGTATTCTTCAGCTCAAGCTGCTCCATTATGTCCAGCTGGGAGTGCTCAGTCTCAAAAAGCTTAACAGCAGCTATTGGCCCTCAGAATGCAGGAGCTGATCTCATCCAGCAATGCCAGGTACACTGGTGTATGGTCAATCTGTAGCTGAAAGTACCTTGGTTCTGACATGGTCCAATCCATCCTTTTCAGCATACCCATTGCTATCAATGGAAACCTTATACAATGATAAAGTGTACTCAACTCTGCCACTATTTCACAGGCTCCTTTGTTCTCGTTGCAACACAAATTGCGAAGTTTCAATAGCTTTTGATGTTGATTTCAGCTCATCTTTATTGATGTTCATTTGCTTTTTCTTCTTCCAGGTCTCAACCATGCTTGTTGTATAAGCCAGTATGTGGCTGTATTTAGTCCCTGGTTTAAAGAGTGAGTGCATGAAAAGATCCAGGAAGGATGGCACCTGGATGAGTTGAACAGGAGGAGGGTCCATGCTGGAGAACATTTTGAATAGGATGATGATGTCAGCAGTATTTAGGGTTCCTGCGGACAGCATGGCCCTGAGGGCCTAGCAGACCTTAGGGTAGGAGGCAGATGTGGCAAAGGCTAGTGTGATCTGACTGGCATCATGGCCTCTTGATAGAAAAACTACATACTCTGTCATTAACAGGGTGGCTTTTTTCTCTTTTTTCTTTCTCTTTGTCTTTTATTTACATTTAACGCTTTAAATTGTTGGGATTTCTTTGTCTTTCCATATTTCTGTCATTCACTGGTATACTGATTAACTGACCCATGAAAACAACATTTAGAGCAAGCTGGGAGAGAATGACTCAAATACAGCTTGCCGACTCTATAAAAGGAATCAAACATTTTAAATACCTTATTAAGACCATATTAGTAGCAGAAAATAAAGCTAATAAGAGCTAAGTTTGTTCTGTAAGATATAGATTACAATATAACAATTAGGTTACTCAATAACTATTTCAGAACTATGGTATTTGCTATCGATGAACCTTAATATATGAAAATACAGGTCCATAAATCCAGTGAACTGAAAATAATCATATAATTACAAACCAGTCATCAAAGCAACACTTTGGAAAGAAAGCTCAACACCTTAGAAAAAGCTCTACCCTGACTTTTCTAGCTCTATCGGATAAAGAAAGTGAAGTTTACCCATATGTCAAAATAGAAGGAGCTAGAAGTGTTGGTTGTGGAACTAGGGCCACAGGAGGGGTTTATATGGCAATTAGAACAATGGCCTAACACTTCTCCTGGGCAAGGTGCTGCACTTCCTGAGTGATCCTATGCACAGTACAGCCCCCTTGTTCTTCTTGGACCAGCATGGATATCATGGCCTGGGCAAGCAGGTATGTGTGCTCCTCACGGCAGACCATCTTGGCAAACTCAGGGAGATATTTTTCCAGGTTTTCTTTTCCTCCATCTAAAATTGCAGCTAGAGAGGTATGAATATTCTGGAGAACACTTCCAGCTAGGGGCACGCTGTGGATACACTGATTACCGACCCTTGGAACTCTGTTTCAGAAATCAGCTTCACAGTAAAGTTAAACATCAAACAGTCTGAATGGGCTTCAACCAGTCTGTAAAAAAAATCTCACCATGTGGTATGTGCAATCATTTGTTCTAGACAAGTTGGGGTCTCTCCTTCAGTGAAAATAGATCTGCTTTCCTGGGGCCAAAATGTTTCATCATTAAACTCTTCAAGTGATTTTCCATAGCTTCCTGAACCTGCACTGTCCCAACACCTGTCTGAATGAGCCACTTGGCCAGCAGGTTCACAGTGTGGGCCTTGGCAGTGTAGTTCTCAGATAAGAGCTGGGTAACATTCTTGGGAGACCATTCTGCCTGAAAATACCTCTTCAGAATGTTAAAGATGGAGGGTTCCAGGATACAATCCCAGGTAGAACATTTATGCGGGCATTCTTGCTGGACCTCTACAACATCCTATCCTCCAGAATCATCCTCCTGAGTTTCATAGGCTAGAAAGCCCAAAGTCCAGGGAACACATCTGGTGAGGGCCTTGTTCTCAGTGGTGACTCTACAATAACGCAGAATATCACATGGCAAATGGCTGAGCAAGAGACAGTTTTTCTTTGTGAACAGTTTTTGATTATTAAGTCAATTTTACTTGTTATAGTTCTATTCACCTTGTCTATTTCTTCTTGAGTCAGCTTTGGTAGTTTTTTTTCTGCCGGCTGGTATTGGGATCCAAACCCTTGACCTTGGTGTTATCAGCACCACACTCTACCGAATGACCTAACTGGCCAATGTATTTTCTAATTTCTCTTTTGATTTCTTCTTTGACCCACTGGTTATGTAGGAGTGAATTGTTTACTTTTTATATGTTTGTGAGTTTCCCAAATTTCTTCCTGTTATTGATTTGTAATTTAATTCCACTGTGGTCAGTGAACATACTTTGTTTTTAAACTATTAAGGTTTGTTTCATGCCCTGGCATGCAGAATGTTCCACATATGCTTAAGAATATATATTCTGCTGCTGGGTACAATGTTCATCATTGTAAATAATGATCACAAAATTTATATTCTGTGTACTCCTTTGCAGCAAACATCGAAGGAAATGATTTATTAAAGAAGAGAGTAAATAGAAGTAGATATAAAATGCAAGAAATGAGTAAGTCGGGTGAATAGAAAGATGTTGAAGAGAAGTTCCAGGAAGATACCTGTGTAGCAGGCTTAGAGAAAAATGTATTTGAACAGGAGAAGAGAACAGAGAGTCTAGGAAGGAGCTCTCCAGAAAATAAATAAACTACGTTTTGGGGCATATGGAAAATATCAGCCATAGGCATTTGGCAGAGATGTTGAAAATATTAACAGATACTTTAAAAACACTTTTAAAAAAATCCAGGCAAATGAAACACAAGGCAAATTATTAACTCTAGGACAAATGATGTTTCTGTGAGGAAGAAGGCAGTTAGCAAACCACTTGGTACAGGAGCAAATGCCTGCACAGTAAAATGTAAATCTTTTCTACTAATTGCCAATAATTGATTCATAACTATTTTGAAGATTATGGGAAAATATACAGGAAAGGATGCTGGAAGGATATAAGAAAGCTAAATCCACACTTACCAAGATTGATAGACTTACATAATGCTTATGTTTATTAATAGATCAATAATGCCTAAAATCAATAAATCAAGAAATAGTATAAGGTCTTATTTAAAATACATAGGTAAATGCAAGGGGAACAATTTGGGATATTTTGAATGGTTACAAAATTAAAGGTTAGGAGAATGTGGCAAGGACAGCTATTTTTTATTTTATGTTTGAAAATTATGCTTATATTAATTTGACAAAATTTAAAATAATTTAAAGAGATTATAAAAAAAAACGTCCTCATCACTCACTGCTAACTGATAATGTCCTAAAAATATTAGCTTCCTTCCCTGGCAATCCAAAACTAGTGACTTGCTTTTCCAATATATCTCCTAAACCTTATATTAAAAACACACCTTCCGAACATCAGAACTTTTGGGTTCTGTTGTCCAAGTGATGACCCGAGACACAGCGAGGCGAGTTTCACTGGAATTTATAAAATCTCCTGGGTCCATCTGTTTGGCCAAAGTTTCAATGTATTTAAGGATAGCAACTTTCACCTGCAGTGGTAAGCACAGTGAGAGAGGACAATATGAGGTCATTATGAGACACTGAAGAATGCTTAAAAAATAATCAGGTGACTATTTTTTGATAAACAGAAAATGAACAAACAACATCAACAACAAAAAAATTTTACAACCACCTACCTACCTGAGATACAAGATGTGATAATGGGATAATTTGTGTTTTCCACACATATCAGAACTTTTAAGTCCTAAGCATTTCCTTCCCTGAGTTTGAGTAACTGCTCTCTTGACAATATTATAAACTTCTTCTTGAATCTGCTTTCAGAACTTACTGGCTGGCCTCATGGGGAGCCAGTCTTTCATCAACTCAGTGTAATTTCATTTTTGGGGAAATGAACCAAAGCATTTTGGAAATCAGGAATCGTAAATCAAGTTGGTAATCAAGGTGGGTAACATATGTTTTTTCGTCAAACATGGGATAAGACTCACACAATTGAGATCAGGACCCTCAATAGGTCTATCAATTGTTAGAACTGCCTTCCATAAGAAGTGTCACAAAAATGTTTTATACAAGTACTGGAGAAAAGACAACATTTATTTGTATAAAAATGTTATCCTATGTGGATTTATGAAGTCTCATTATTCTCCCAGTAATTTCTGAGGTGTGGGAACATGGAAGGTAGATGTGTGGTAGGATGCAGGTTTCAAAATCAGCAGGAGGTGGGGCTATTTCCAAAGCACACAGGCTTCTTTTAAAACTCTACCATTTCTATCCTTGTAGTAAGCCACTATTAAATTATATCCCTCCTCTTAGATATGTTGGGCAGATAAAAAGGTGAGAACCACAGTTTTTAATGTCACCACGTATTCCAACATTCTAGGATTTCTAAATAACGGTTCTCTCAGATTTTACCTGTGTATTTAATTTCTTTAAAAAATTAATCAACTTTTAAGTTACCAGAGAACAATTACACATATTTAGGGTATACAACATGAGGTTTTGAAATAATGTATATATTGTGGAATGGCTGAATTGAGCGAATTAATACAAGCATTACCGTGAATACTTATTTTTTTGTGGTGAGAATGCTTAAAATCTACTCTCTTGGCAATTTTATTTTATTTTTTTTTTACTCTATATATTTAAGGAATACAATATGATGTTTTATATACATATACATAGTGAAATGATTACTATAACCAAGCAAATCATTAAGTCCATCCTCTCACCCAGTTGCCTTGTGTGTATGTGTGTGTGTCAAGAACACCTAAAATGTACTCTTTTAAAAAAAAAATCCCAAATACAACACAATACACATATATATATGTATTTTTGGCAGCTGTCCAGTACAGGGAACCAAACATTTGACCTTGGTATTATCAGCACCATGCTCTAACCGAGTGAGCTAACCGGCCAGCCCTACAATTCAATATTATTACCTAGAGTCCTCATGTTGTACATTAGATCTCTAGACCTATTCATCCTATATATCTGCAACTTTGTATCCTTTGGCCTACATCTCTCTGGCCTCTCCTCACATTAATTATTTTCAAGTATTTATTACATGAACTGCAGTTACCATGTTGTACCTGTGCACTTTAGAAATGGCATCTGACTTTGTGCACAGTCTTTGGATATAGTAGATGCTAAACATATATTAAGTGCTCATTTGCTGACTTAGAAAAGGAAGGCTTAAATGTATAATTAAAATGGAACTTGAAAAAATATTGCTAAAAAATTATTATTGATTTTAATGTCATTTTTGTCACACAGGACAAATAAGATCTCTGCCATACCAAGTTAATATGCAGAAAGTAACATATTAAAATAAGGTCCTTCTTCCACTAAAAAAAAAAAAAGATGACAGAAGGATAAAATTATACTCTTCCTTCATAATGAATAAATTTTATGAAGTATTTATAATTCTACACAGGCAACAAAAGCAAAAACAGATAAATGGGATTATATAAAACTAAGAGCTTCTGTGCAGCAAAGGAAAAAACCATTGAAGAGACGAACTACGGAATAGGAAAATATATTTGCAAACCATGTATCTGATAGTGGGTTAATATAAAAAATATATAAGGAACTCGAAACAACTCAATAGTAAGAAGACAAATAACCTGATTAGAAAATGGGCAAAGGACCTGCATTAGACATTTCCCAAAAGAAGTCATACAAAAGGCCAACAGGCATTTGAAAAAACACTCAACATCACTAATCATCAGGGAAATGCAAATTAAAACCACAATGATATATTGCCTTAAACGTGTTAGAATGATTACTATCAAAAAGATGAAAGCTAAGTGTTGGCGAGGATTTGGAGAAAAGGGAACTCTTGCACATTGTAGGTGGGAATGTAAATTAGTACAGCTGTTATGGAAAACAGCATGGTGGTTCCTCAAAAAATTAAAAGTAGAACTCCCATATGATCCAGCAATCCCACTACAGGGTACATATCCAACAGATATGAAATCGGTATGTCAAAAAGATATCTGCACTCCCATGTTCACTGCAGCATTAGTCACAATAGCCAAGATATAGAATCAACCTAAGTGTCTATCAACAGTTGAATGAATTAAAAAAAAGTGGTATATACACACAACAGAATACTATTAGGCCTTAAAACAAACAAACAAAAACCAAACAGAAATCCTGTCATTTGCAACAACAGGGATGAATCTGGAGGACAATACGTTAAGCAAAATAAGCCAAGGCACAGAAAGACAAATACCCTATGATCTCACTTGTATGTGGAGTGCAACACAGAGTTGCCACAAACCTTCAATTTGTAAAAAAACACAGTATCAAGCACAATAAAACCAGGTATGCCTTTATATCAAAACATCATGTTGTACACCATAAATATATACAATTTTCACTTGTCAATAAGAAAAAAGTAAAGAAGTAAATATAACTTTAAATAAATATATTGCAAAAACCAAGAGTTAGCCTATTAGCCATCAAAAATGTGTAGTGGACAGGGAAAGTTGTGCAATGGCAGGCCCAACTAAATTATGGCAACACATAATATTCTGGATTCTTGAAGCCACATCACCTTCTATCAGTGTGAATACCTAAAAAGTGACTATATTAAATAACAAAAAAATCAATGTATTTTGTTTTTAACTTGCAACCGCCAGTAATTGAATAATTTATTTGCAGTATGTGAAACTGAATTAGTGCAGTGTCTTGGCAATTTCTAGTCATGCAAAGTTTTAAAATGGTTCCACAGAATAGGTTTGTTTACTATACTAATAGGCAAAATTACCACAATACATATAATCATTTGAACATTTACATTTTAGTAGGATATTTTACAAGGTTATACACGGTCTATAATTTTAACAATACAAACATGCATTCTTTTTCAGAGAAGGAAAAACAATCTAGTTGCTACAGTATGTGTAATTCTTCAACATGTTTGTGAAACCCAGAAAAAGAGGTTAACAAAAATTACAGTTATTTTAAAAATATTACTAATTCAAATAAAATCACTTTGTATCGCCATGTTCCCTGATTGCCTCCTTTTGTGACACTTACTCACATGACATTCTATGAGATGTGAAATTTTATACAAACACGCATCTTATTCTGAAAGAACAATCATTTTTTTCAATAACGAAGTTTTCCAGATCACATACTCAAGTTATTTGTTTTTCTATAACCTGTTAAGTTTTTAATATTTAATCTTGTCACCCACCTTTTATTTTTGGCATAAGGTATGGTTCCAATATAACGTCTTCTTGCTATCTCAAAACATCTATTTAAGACTTGAAGTGATTTCCCCCTATGGAAAATATATAGCTACTAAATCTAAACCTATATTAAATATATATTTATAAATAATTTAGGCTTTTAGAGAAACATTCTGGGACTCCAGTCTCCAGTATGATGTTTTCCAGCAGGAAAGCTAATCTTAATTTGTTGTTTCCCATTTCACTCTTCCCTTTGATTGTCTTTCTCTGCAGGTCTTCAGCAATTTTATTTTCCCTTAACTCACCGATCACCCTTATTTCTTAAGCTGTTTCAGACCTTCATTTGCACTGGCGTCTGAAACTCTCTACACACATTTTCAACAGTACTTGAACACCAACCACAGGTACCTATATTATAAACTTTATTACAGTTTATTGTTTATTATGTAGTATAGATAATAATGATAAAAATTATGTTTTGTATTCCCAGGAATGCCTAGCACAGTGCTTTGGACATAAAATGAATTCAAAATATTTATCAATAATGTCAAGTAAATTATCCTCCTTCTTGCTGGTCATTTTCCAAAATGAAAACCGATGGAAAGCTGTTCACAGAGCAGCTCTGAGAAAATAACATTATGTTGAGTGTAAGTCAACCCTGCTAAAAAACATAATTGGAATTTTGAGGAACAACTGCATTAACAACTTTAGAGAAAAATCAATCTTGGACCGTAATGTTTATAGAAATATATTTCGTGCACAACAGAGCAGAAAAATATTAAACCTGTATAAGCACATATGCTTGTTATTTCCCTGACATTAATCTCATTCAATAAAACTCATTAAAATAACATTTTAGTAAAGAATTTAGAGGATCTTTTGTATTAAATTGCTTTTTCTCTTTTGTTAATTTAATTAATTTTAAATCACAAATTGGAATCCACCTAGTTTTCACATAAATTAACTGGAAAATGTGTGCAAATAACAAGTGAGAAAGTTAATTCCAATTCCAAATTTTAAGCACACATCAGAAATATCACATTGCACAAAAAGAGAAAGTTACTATTTTAGTTAAGGAGAATTGAAGAATAGCACTGAGGTTAAACTTAAAAATTTCTGTTTACTAAAATAAATACATAGGCAAAAAACCTGAAGTTTTGCCCAAAATACCTACTGAAACTCCCAAAACAAAGTATTGGGAAATCACAAACATAAAATTAGATAAGGCTTTATAGAGCAAGTTTGCATTACCAGCTTAGGGTTAGATGGCCATACCTGTGATGCCTTTTAAATGTGTATTCCCAGTAAGCTTCTCCAAAAGATAGTGTGACATTTGAATAACATTTGAAATCAAGTATATGCATGCGTAAAAGGCTTACAAAAGAAGGTTAGTAGTTGAATATAGATGCATACAAACATTATCTGAAACACTGCAGAGTTAAGAAAAGAAATAATGCAGATTAAAACAAAAACAAAAACAAAAACCTTGGAACTCCAAAAAGAGTGAAGCTGGTCCCGAAGTGCTGGCTTGACTGTCTGAAAGTTTATAAAAACAAAACCCACTGATTGAACAGCTTTTCATGTGACAGAAATACAAATATCAATATAACTTTATTAATAAAATACTTCAATTCCTTATAATGTCTTCAAAAGACCTTGAATTACCTTCAAACTTGGTGTTTGGGTCTGATCAACTGTAAATCTCATTAGAATATTGAACTGAAGATCATTTGGAAAAGATTCTCTGAAATAAGAAGAAAGCAAAACAAACAAAAATTAAGTCAGCAAGTAAGCATTTAGCAAACTTAACAGCAAAAGACTATTTAATACCAAAACATGTCATTCAAAAAGCACACATGAAGTAGTATTTGCATGTGGTATAGTCTGTGTGGTACAGTATACAATAAAAGCATTCTCAGAACAGTATGAACACCTGAATTTACACCCAGTATGGGGTTAAAAAGCAACGTTATAGTAAATAATAGTTTATCTTGCCTCAACTGTAGATTTAACCAGAAAAATTTATTCAGTTAAAAAGTTCAACTTTCTCAGAGATGTTTCCCCACACCTAAAATCTAAATTCTAAACTCACCTCAACTTAGAAAATGGATATTTGAAATAAATCCCTTCAACAATCTATACAGGAAAGTAGAAATATCATTGGTTCAAAATCTTCTCAGAAGAGATTTTGAATACTGAAATGTATAATAAAACATTCTTTTAAAACTTAGGAAATACTTTTATTTTTACATTAGATTGAATAAAATCTTCTACCATACTTTGCAGATATATCTTAATTAAGATAAAATACCACCTTGAATTACTCAACAGTATTAATAAAACTTTTACAAAAGAAATGTATGTGTATGGTTCGATCTAAGGAAATACGTTGTATTAAATATACAATGTGAATGGGTATAATTAACAATTTCCAAATGGAGCCCATGCAGTCTAGATCGAAAGGATTCAGAAATCTGAATTTTTTTTTTTTTCTTTTTTTGTCTTTTGTCTTTTTTCCGTGTCCGGCAACGGATCGCAACCCTCAGTGTTGCCCCCGTACCGGACCGGGGACCGGCAACGGGATTGCAAACCTCGGCGTTGCTCCCGCGCCTCGCTCAGCCAGTGAGTGGGAACCGGTCCGTATGTGGGATCTGAACCCTCGGGTGGGAGCGCCGCCGCGCTTCCCAAGCGGCGCACTATCCAGTGCGCCACCGGGCCGGCCCCAGAAATCTGAATTTTTAATACAGGAACTAAATATTCCTCATTACTACCAGGTAAACTTGAAATATAAGAAGAAAATATTACCTTGTAACATCAAGGGCTTTCTGAACTTTTGCCTGAACAGATCCAAGCAAATCAGCACCCATTTTTTTTAGTAGTTGTGTCAGAAGTACAAACAACCAATCTTGAAGGTCATCTTTGTGGACTTGTATGAAATCTACTAGAGTCTCCAAAAACATGCTGAATACCTACAGTAGATAAAGGGGAAAGGTGGAGAAAAAAAAGGAGGAATATTGACCTCTATGCTCAATTCAAAACTGAAATAGAAAGGAACACAGGAATCAGAGGCACAGCAGCGATTGGCAGCCAAGCGGAAAAACAATCTCTCTTGCTTTTCATTGGACTCTGTGATACAAGAGTACATGTGAACTGTTATCCAACTTCTGCAGAAGTTCGACAGTTAGCTATTCCATGCAGCATCACTTGGTAAAGAAACTTTGGCCATAATGACTGGCACACCTAATGTTATCAATGATGCCACAGCTTAAACTGGTTAAACTGAAATCCATTTTAAATAAAATGTAGGGGAAGAACTATCTATATCTCATGGACTCTCAGCTTTTTGGAAGAGTGGCACTAAATAAATCAGAAGACAATTATACTGACAGCTACCTTAAAGTATAAACTTTTTTTTTAAACAGCTGGCCAGTACAAGGATCTGACCCTTTGACCTTGGTATAACAACACCATGCTCTAACTAACTGAGCAACAACCGGTCAGCACAAAAGTATAATTTTTATCTAGCATAAAGGGCTAATTAGAGAATCCTTAGATTTCTCAAAATGACAATTGCCACAATTTTTTTGGTATGAGGTATACTATTTACTAAAACTGCCCCAAAAGTAATTTTAAATGATCTGGAATAACCATAACTGTACTTAAAATAAATTCAGGATAAAGTCTGCATCTAAATGTTAATGACCTAAAAAAAAAGTTCTATATGGCATGCTATTAGTCTCCGTTTCTATTGATGGGTTTTATACTTGATTCCAATATTAATCTAAGAGTTTAAAAAATTTTATAAGGTGAAAAAAATTTTAAGATGAAGGGAAGCTAATATTCATAACTGATGTATCTTATTAAAATACTTATGAAAAGTGACCTGCAATAAGGTTATATCTCTTTACAAGGAATTCAACAGCATACTGGAAAACTTATTTCTAGATAAAGAGGGAAAAAAACTCTTAAGACTGTCAGTCATCCTGTGTGATGAGAGAAATTATAATCACAATAAACAATAAAACTAAGATTTTAAAAAGTTAATAATCTCAGAATTATGTTAATATAATTAAGAATTTTGCTTTCAATGTATATTTTATTTCTTGAATTTCCTTTATCCATGAATTCCATTTTTTCCTTATGTCAGAAATAAAGGATTTTTTTCTATCAGAATTAGAACTAAGCTTTAAAATTTGAACCTGAATTAAAAATAAAAAATACACTTTAGTTATCTGCTTAAGATCTCTATATTTGTAAATGCAGAAACTATAACCACTTTAAATTTTTTAGTATTCTCTGGTCTCCAGGCAGCGTCTGCTTCAACACTGTTCTTAAAATGTAGATTTAACTCTCGTCCCACCCCTCCCCCAACAACTCCCCAACACTTGGCTTCTCTTAGATTCCAAACTTGGATGACTGCTTCACTTAAACTGTCTCTTGCCCTCTCCTCAAGGCTCAGAATATTGTTTAGGAACTTCACTAGACCTTGTCTACGACAAATAAATGTATGTAATCTGTTACTCACTTTTACTGCCACCTGGCAAATCTGCTGGAATCAGCTTGTACATGCCTCAAGAGTCAATTGTGAAATTTTATTTGGGAATTTTGTGAAGTGGCTACCTTGAAATGAGCCATGGTAGAGGTATTTACACCTCAGAAACTGGCAAACACTACAAACCAGGGCTTCCTGCATCTGCCCCAAAGCTGGTTTACCAGCACACCACTCTCTATTATTCCTTGGTTCACTTTCGCACTTATTTCAACTCTTACCTATCTATTCTCGTGAAGATTCCAAATTTAAGCTTTCCTATATGAAAATCCATTCTGAAAATCATAGACATTAAAATGCCTAAGTCAACTCTCCCATTTTAAGATGACCAGAAAATTAAGTGACTTGCCCAATGTTTCACAGGTAGTCAATGGCTTGGCCAATACTTAAAGCTAGGTCACTCGGTTTTTCAGTTGTGTTCTATCCTATTAGTAGATGACTTACCTCATCTACTTCACTGTCATTCAACATGAAATTCTCCACTGACTTTTCTCTTTTTTTGATTTTTTATTGAAACATAAAATTGTACATATCTGAGGGGTACAGCATTGAATATTGATACTTATGTGCATAATGTGATACTCAAATCAGGATAATAAGTATGTTCAGCATTACACAATATAATCATTTTTTGTGGCCCTTTACCAATTAATCACTAACCTCCCATCCCCTTCTGCCTTTCTCACCTCTGGCGGCCTCAGTTCTCTTCTCTACTTTTGAAAGTTCAGGGAATTATTATGATTGCTTTATCTTGCTTACCTAAAAAAATTTTTTTAAAATTCCCACTTATGAGTGAGGAAATATGGTATTTCTCTTTCTGTGCCTGGCTTATTTCACTTAACATAATTTTCTCTAAGTTCATCCATGTTGCTGCAAATTGCAGCATTTCATTCTTTTTTATGGTAGAATAGTATTCCATTGTGTATATCTACCACATTTTCCTTATTCAGTCGTCCTTTGATGGACATTTAGGTTGGTTCCAACTCTTGGCTACTGTAAATAGACAAATATGGGAGTGCAGGTATCCCTTCAACATGATGATTTCCATTTCTTTGGGTATATACCCAGCAGTGGGACTGCTGGATCATAACATTCACACGGAACAACAAAAGACTACGAATATCCGTTGACTTTTCAATTTGATTTCCTCTAGATCTATCCCTCTAGTAAACATTTCTCCAAGGAAGAGATAATTTTATTCCATTTTAAGGTTAGTCCTTCTATTCTGTGTTCTTGCTCTCTAAAGTAGGATATCTTCTACTATTTTTACTCCTTTGTTCTCTAATTAAATCCTTTGCTTACAGATGCAGAAGACACCATCCCAAGAATTTCTCTTTCAACTTCCATCCTATTGTTCCCACCAATTATCTTCTGTGATTTTATAATAGCTATTTCATAAGTTTAGTATGCTTGGCCATTCTGAGCTTGACACTGCTTTCCTCTTATTATTTCTCTTATTTTCCTGCTACCAGGAATTCTTTTGCATCCTAAGTGTCTTTTTTTTTTTTCCTTTTTTTTAAAGATGACCAGTAAGGGAATCTTAACCCTTGACTTGTTGTTGTCAGCACCACACTCTCCCAAGTGAGCCACAGGCTGGCCCTCTAAGTGTCTTCATTCTGATTCTCTTTTCATTATAAATGTGACCTCCTTGACAGGGCCCCTCTGATCTATCCTATGAAGCCCCAGAACCTCTGGAATAGCTCCATCTCTATTTATCACACCGTTGTCATAGGCACCAAGCCTTTCTGACCTCAGGTTTGGATTTTTATAGTAGCCTGACTTTAGTCTTTATATTTCCTGTATAATGGGAATCATTAAACCATTTCTATAACAGGCCACACAGTAAATATTTAAGCTTTGCAAGCCATATGGTCTCTGTTGCAACTACTCACCTGTGCCATTGTTGCACAGACACAGACATTACATAAACAAATGAGCATGGCTGTGTTCCAGTATAATTTTTTTTTCCTTTTTGTCTTTTTCGTGACCGGCAACGGATCGCAACCCTCGGTGTTGCGCCCGCACCTCGCTCAGCCAGTGAGCAGCCGGTCTGTATGTGGGATCCGAACCCTCGGCGGGAGCGCCGCCGCACTCCCAAGTGGTGCACTGTAGCAGTGCGCCACCGGGCCGGCCCCCCAGTATAATTTTATTTACAAAAATAGGCAGAAGGGCAGATTTGGCCTGCAGGCTGTAGTTTGCCAATTCATGCTTCTTTCTCATTGGATTATGATATCACTCTTTTGATAGAAACAAAATCCTTTAATGTCCCTTCACTGTCTATAGGATAATATCTCAAACCCTTAGATAAGGTTCTTAATTCTCCTATCTAATCTTGGTCTATCTGGCAATATAAACTCTTTAGCCTTGAATATATCATTCCCACCCACTTACCAAATACCGCACCCCCCAACTCCATTCATTTACACACAGTATGTGACTCCCTCAAAGTTTACTACTCAAGTCCCAGCCAAGAAGCTTCTTGGACTACTTTCAATAACAGCCACTGACCTCCCTACTTGGAACTCTTAGTGTGACTAGCTATTTATTGTGCTATTTAACTTTTTCTGTACTTATATTATCTTTTTATACCAATATACCATTTGAGAATAAAGACTATATTTTTTATATAGTCTTACATCAGCGATTAGAACCAAGCTCAAAGTTATCAGAGACTCCTCAGCCCAACAAAAAACTGTTTAATAAATGCAAGGATTTTCTCTTAAGTAAATTTATCCTTTAATTGGTAGCCAACCTTTTATCCTCAATGCAAGGGAAGACCTTCTAGCCAAGATTAATTTCTTTTCCTTTCCTAAAAACTTTCTGGCATCTCCCACTTTTTTCTGGACTCATGCTAGCCATTCCCTGGAGGCCCTTTCTTCTCATGATGACATATCCAAAGTTATTACATTCCTATCAAGATCTGAACTGCTATTTCCTTCAAGAAGACATCTCTGAGTCTCCTAAGTAGCAATTTCCTTTGGTTAGATAATAATGTGAGTAGCTGAATAAAAATGGAGACATGTAATTTATAGTACTCTACACACAGAACTGTATTATTATTTATAATTTTTCAAAAATACTTATATCCTACCAATGGCACTTACTAAATGATCATATATAAACATATATATATTCATATCTATAGCCAAAATATATTGGAAGTTATACACAAAATTTCTTACTTGATTGCCCTAACACAAAGAGTTACTGTCAAATGTTAAAATTCTCCCATTTCCCTACATATGATTAAAGGAGAAAGGGAAAGTAGATATGCTAATGTAGTGCTAGGGATAAAAATTTTATTTCAGAAGAGAAAGTTGAGAATCACTGCTCCATAATCTGCTCTGTTTGCATTTAGGAAATGATAGTAATAGAATATTAGAAAAGTATATATGGGGAAGCAGGGGCTAACTTTCTTTTTAATAATTGTGAAACTTGGGAATTATTATTGTTGTTATTATTATTATTATTTTCGGTGGCTGGCTGGTGTGGGGATCCAAACCCTGGACCTTGGTGTTATAACACTGTGCTCTAACCAACTCAGCTAGCTGGCCAGCAGTAAGGGAATTATTTTTAAATAATTAACTGAAAGCCACCTTCAGTGGAATCAATTTATAATCCCACATATCCACAACTAATTTGTTGGAAAAGAATTAAAATATTCAGGCTGTTATAATTGAGGCAGTCTTTTCTTAAACTTGCCTATATCTTAGGTGTGCCAGTCATCAAATATAGAACAGAAGAACATAATCAAATTAGGTTAATTAGTAGATTAAAAAGCACATCTCCAAACAGAATGACAGTTTGCATCACTGCAAATAGCATTTCGTGGATTGCAAAGGGTCCAACACTGCATGAATTCTTCAGGAGAGAAAATAGAGAAAAAGGGTTAATTTCACAGTCATGCAGTAAAGTTAGGTTTCCAACAAATATTGAACCAACTTACTCTCTATTGAGAGTTCCAACACAGGGGACAGCATGCAAAAGGAAAAAAAGAAAAAAAAGAAAAACACACAAATTAGTCGCCATCAATGCAAAGTTCCTGTATGGAAGAAAAACACTTAGAAAATAAAAGTGACAAATGTCAAAGTTTTATGGTAAACTCAAAATAGTTTTTAAAACAAGAGTTAAATGAATAGTATGGGAGAAGACTATATGATTTTCCTGTGTTTCTCTTTATAGGAAACTATAAAAAAGTAAAAACAAAAAGCCTTCTTTTCAAGTATATTTTTGAGGCTCAACTTCTGGAAAGAATGCAAAAATAACAGACACTGATTCTCATTTCTGAACAAACAGTGCTGATATTTGGCTCCACATTCATTACCACAGAATCTAGAATTTGTTTGTTTCTTTTCTTCTCCCCACCTCCCTGTCCTTAAAGCAATACTTTCAGAAGTTAAATTATTTCTGCGAAGGCTTGGAACAATTACTATTGTTTGGAAGTAAAAAGTAACTACTATTTATACCACAATTTTTTATTTTCTCCAGGTAGGATGTATGTTATAGTCTCCTGATTCAAGGACTGCAGATAGCTGAGCTGCCTAGAATACTCATCGGGAGACCAGATGTGACCTTCTAAGTAGGGCACTCAATCAACTGTGCACCATATAGTAGCTACAGATTGAATTCCTAACCTAGGTGTCCAAGACTCAAGAGCATGATTCAAGAGGCAGAATTTAAAAAACCATAAAATGCCAATTCTTTTTTTTTTTTTTTTGTCCTTTTTGTGACTGGCTGCATCACACCAGCCATCCCTATATAGGATCTGAACCCGCGGCGGGAGCGCTGCTGTGCTCCCACCGCCGCACTCTCCCGAGGGCTCCACGGGCTTGGCCCATAAAATGCCAATTCTTTTTTTTTTTTTTTTGTCCTTTTTGTGACTGGCTGCATCACACCAGCCATCCCTATATAGGATCTGAACCCGCGGCGGGAGCGCTGCTGTGCTCCCACCGCCGCACTCTCCCGAGTGCGCCACGGGCTTGGCCCATAAAATGCCAATTCTAAGCATGCACCTCAGTGAAGGTGGCTCTTTTCAGAGTTAAGAGCCAGAATCGCATGAGATAGCTTTTGGTATCTGACACTGCTTACTTTTGAGGGGAAAAAAATGGGTCCAGAACACTCAAAATAAAAATCTTCTCTGAACTCCTTAGTTTTTAAAACTTATTTAAATTTGAATTTAAAAAACTTGTGTGGTACGTTGTGGAGGATACTAACATTAATAAGCATATGTATTTCACAGGGCCTATCTTATAGCTTAGTGGGACCACAGTCCTTAGTTTTTAGAAGGGCCAAAGCCCTTAGCATAAGTTGTAGCTTAGTAGGGCGACAGCCCTTAGTTTTAGCAGAGCCAAAACCCTGTAGTTTAAGGAATAGCCTAACTTTTTAGAATTACACATAGAAATGCTAAGCTTGGGAAAAAACAGAAAACTTTCACAGGACTAAAAAGTCTCTAGTGTGGATAAGAAAACTGTAACACAGCAAAAGTGCTTGCTCTAAGGGCATTCGTCCTTGGTGCAGCTAAACCTAATGATGGGAAAATATGTGAGCTAAAAGCTCCAAGGTTACTCTGCCAATTCGTGGTTGGTTCCTCATCTGGCCTTCAGTTGTTCCTTTAAGCTTCCTAGGGAACTAAGAGTTGCCATGATGATTATCTAATTGTTTCTTTTGTATGTCACATAGCTTAGTTTTATGACCCTTTTAATGGTAATTTCCTTAAACTATTTTTAAGTTGCACCTGCCTTAATGAAAATTGTCATGTAGCAAGTTTGTTTATGTTTTCACTATGACTGATTAACCACCTATGTTATTTTCTGTAACTTTTTGCCTGAACAATAAAAACTGAGAGAAAACCTGATTCAGGTTATTCTTAGGAATCCTTCTCTCTTGAAGGAACTGCTCCTGGGATTAACCCCTTCTGGGCTTCTCACTTCTCTGGAGAAATGAGCTTTGAGTAATCCTTTGTGTCTCTGTCACCCTGGGAGAGGTGACAGTATGTTATAAGGGCTTTACATATATTAACTCATTTAATCGTCACCACAATCTTATGAAGTATTACTATTAACCGTTTTTTATAGACTAAGAAATCAAGGTAAACAATGCTAAAAAGTGTTGGAGGCAGAATTTGAGCCCAAGCAATCCAGCTCCACTATCCATGCTTTTTATTAAGGTGTTATCCTGCCTCTCTTGTAAACTATTGAAAAACTTAAATTATACATTTGCTTTACGGTCTAAATTACTGTTGTACATATATCACTTATTTCCATATTTGTACATGAAGTAAAAAAAGTTCACTTATCAAATTATAGACATCAAATAATTTTAGCTTGCAAACTATATTTATCAATCATATCACTCCTATCCCAGGAAAAATCCAGTTGTCCCACTTCAACTGTATTAAGAAAGCATTCTTTTCCAGCCCTTCCTTTCTAGATCTGCACTGTATACTATAGCATGCCTAATATTTTAGTTGGACACAGACCCTTAGTATAAAAAATACAAGGAAACCATTATGGAGTCTAAAGAAGGTGGTCCTAGCTGGAAGGATATGGGCTACTGCTCATAACTTCATTCTCTAAGTGACCTGTTTTCACTGGGGACAACAGGTGGTCTCAACCATGAGTTTTCAGGATAGTTGACGTTACAGATAAATGATTTGAACTCAGATCTAATCCAGGCTTGAGGAAGATGTGCTGTCTAAACAGAGGTCCAAGGATGCTGGATTGGGGAAGAAAAGAAAATGTCTCTGATAGCATATTTCAAGGACACAAGGAAAAGTACATGACACATTTGGGGAAATGAACATAGTTTAGGCTAGGTTAACAGAATAACAAGCAAAAATGACAGGCTTTGTTTGGACATTTTCTTGAGGACCATGAGCAGTCACTGAAAGGTTTTAAGCTAGTAGAGAAGATTTGCTTTTTAGAAAGGTCATTAAGGGATATGGGGTGGAGGAGAATTTAGGGATGGAAGGTGAGGGCAAGGCACGACAGGCAAAAGACCATTGTGCCCTCAATTAGCAGTGAGAATAGAGAGTTATTCAGAAGGTTAAATCAACAGGATTGAGTAAAATTTCTAGAATAATGTCAAAATCCCTCACTTGAGCAACCAAGTTATAGGGGTTTCATCTAATGAGTTAAGGCAATGCAGGAGGAAGAGTAGTTTTGAGGTTGAAGATAACCAATTGGCATGTGGTTATTAAAGTAAGTGCAGAAGAAAAACATGGGCTGGAAATACACACTTGGAAGCCATTAAGATAAAGTGAGTAACTGAAGCTTCAGAAAAGGTATAGATTGAAAGAGAGCCTAGGGCAAGACTCTATGCAACACCAACACTAGGAAAACAAGAAGAGAGATCTGAAAAGAAGAGTGGAAGAAGTGGCATAAGGAAGACCTCATTAGGCACCACAGAAAATAAAACACACCATTCCTCCTGTCTCACACATTCCTTAACATGACAGAAAATGCACACTGAATAAAGGAGTTTCTTGATGGCTTGATGGCTTCTATTTTCTTGGTAACCTGAGAGGCTAGGACATATGCTGGGGCATGAGATGGTGGGCAAGTAAACAGGGCTGGAGTTTTAAGGAGAGAAAATATTTGACTGTCTCCATGGAGAACGAAGAGAAAACTGAGAGGAGGAGGAGAACCATGCAGCAATGAGCACTTAGATCAAAATCACAGATCAGATATGGAGATCAGCAGGCATATGCAGGACTACGTGATTTCACCCAGCAGGGGCTAGTACACCGCTCCCCCCCTTTTTATTGAATCATAATTGATTATATATATTTTGGGATTCAATGTTGACATATGTTGATCAAATCAATACTACTAGTATGTATATTGTTACAAACTGTACTTATTCTTTATGCCGCTAGTCCAATCTTTCCCTATCCCACTATTCCTCCCCCTTCCCACCACTGATAACCCTAGATTTCTTCTCTCTCTCTGAAAGAGCAATGGTTACTCTGTTGATGTGTTGCCTAGATGATCTGTCCAATGCTGAAAGGCGTGTTCAGGTCCCCCAATATTATCACAGAGCAGATGCTTCTTCTGTCACTCTGGAATGGCTTTGTGGAGAGAGACATCCTATTCTTTTCTCTGGTCTCTGCTGGTGACTCTCCTTGTGTCAATGCACTCCAGTGGCTGGTGGACCATCTGTGTGGTGGTTGTGATGTCTAGCCCTTTCGTGGCAGCTGTGGTTACTGTGGTGGCTGTGGTGGCCCACCCACATGGAGGTGATGTTTTTGGCATTCTCCTTGGTGCCGGCAGTGTGCCTGGTTGTGGGCAGGGGCGGGGATCCGGTTCCCAGCTCCATACCCCAGGCCCCTGGGTGGGGCCCCGAGGCACTAGTGGTGTGCCTGGGCTGAAACTAACTTTTTGTCCTTTGCTTACTTCTAAAACGGGGAATTTCCTCTAGGAACCAGTACTTGAACTGTGTTGTTGAGCTAAATTGCTGCTTTGCTGCTGTTTCCCTAGGAAGACTTTTTGTGCAGCTCAGGGCTTACTTGTTGACCTTACAGCTACTTCCAGGTCTCCAGAGACCAGATGAACCTGGGTTGTGTAGAAACTCTGATTTGGGCCTAAATCTTTTCATCAAACTGCATCCCATGCAATTCTACATTCCTCATCAGTATCCTCTGAGTGGTCCGGCGCTGATTTGGGGGTGGATTGGCTGTCCTTGCTACGTCCCAGTGTTCTCCCAGTGGGTCCATCTCCCCCACTGCGTGCATTCCAAACACTTCCCATGGGACGGGCCATGGGATGGGCCCTGCGCCGGTCCCTTGTGATAACTCACTGACCTCTGAATGGCTCCCCTTTTTCAGCTGTTCTGGCTCCTCGCTCCTGCATGTGTCCACCAGAACACTATTAGTGGTGTTGGTTCTGGGGGCTACCAACGCCCTCTTCTCCCCTGCCACCTCCAAGTAACTCTATCCGAAGGGCACAGCTGTGGCTTCTGCTGGCTCCTGCTCTATGCACTCAGCAGTTCCAGGCTTAAAGCAACTGCGGCCCGAAACACTCTGAGCAGTTTTTTCTTTCTCTCATCATGGCTTCTCCCTGTTCATGAACTCTGTAGGTCTCTCCTTTTCCCCTGAGCTCCAGCGGCCCCAGCTTGGCTGTTGTTACATTTTTATAGTTGTAAATTGGTTGATTTGTGGGAGAGAGTGACACTGGGCACCATCTATTCCACCATCTTCACTGGAAGTCCACTGTTTCCCTTTAATAGTCCTAACCTTCAACCTGCAGCATGAGCTGCATGAGTATAAGTTCCTGAATGTATGTTTCTATTTTAGTGTCAATGACAAAGAGTTCATCATATAGTCATTAAAGTTTGGCCTGCAAGCTAAGAGTGATCTTATAATTTTACGTGGTTTTAAAAAAAACAAAAGACTACTTAGTGATACATGAAAATTATATGAACATTCAAACTTCAATGTTCATAAATGAAGTTTTACTGCAACTCAGTCACATTCATTTGTTTATATTCTGTCTATTATGGATGTCTTTGTGCTATAATGGCAGAGTTGAATAGCTGGGACAGAGATCAATATGGTCTGCAAAGCCTCAATATTTACAGAAAATAATGGCTGACCCCTGATATAGAACAAAATTGCATTTGAAAGGAAAAGAAAGGAAGGCATCAAAAACAATTGCTTGATCCTGAAGAAGGAACTGAGGGGCATATCTGCTGTTTTAATATCAGATGTAACGCAAAAAAATCAAACTCTAACATTTTTAACTCAGCACAGTATGGTGACATGTCTAGTTTACTTTTAATGAATTATATTATTGGCAGAGCCTGTGATGAACAATCACCAAACAAAAGCCAAACGGAAACAAACAAAATTCTTCCATATTTGTCTTCACTGGACTAAAAAAACAAATACCAAAATAAACAGAAAAACCCCAAGTGGGTAAATAAGAATTTTATGTTGCTATAAAATTCTGAAAAGAAAAAACAAAATGTCATCTTTCTGATTCAATTCTAGGGAGAATTGTAGCTGGTTCTCCACATCTACTAAGGAAGGCCAAAAATTTGTGCTCAGTTCAATTCCTTTGCCAACATCAAACTCGGCTTTCCTATTTGATCTTTTAAAAAATGTTTCTCTTTATCACTGGATAGATTCTATCATCCAACTAAATTGCATTATTACCCTAACACAAAGTCAAAAACTATGACTTCAAGAAATAATCCAGCCTTCAACTCATACCTTCCAGTAGTGAAGTTATACCACTTATTGAAGATGTTTAATAACTGTATTTTTCAAAGTTGAGCAGACTTAATTAAAATGTTGCTTAATAAAAAGGCTTACCCAGATAACTGTCTCATCCTTTGGCTTATATTGCCAACTAACAATACCAAGTTAATTTGTTTATAATTTACAGAAATTTTTGCATTAAAGCAGAACCTACAGCTGTGATTAGTGGTAGCAATATCAATATAAAATGGTAGAATTATGGGCCGGCCCAGTGGCGCACTGGAGAGTGCGCCGCCTGTGGCGGTGCTCCCGCCGAGGGTTCGGATCCCATGTGGAGACTGGTTCCCGCTCACTGGTTGAGCGTGGTGCGGGCGCAACACCAAGGGTTGCGATCCCGTTGCCGGTCCCCAGTGCGGGCGCGACACCGAGGGTTGCGATCCCGTTACCGGTCAGTAAAAAAGACAAAAAGGAAAAAAAAAATGGTAGAATTATATATACCTTCAGTTTGAAAGTTACGAACTATACCAAATGCATTTTCATCTTTGTCTTTTAATGAAATCTTTTGTCCTTAGATAAAATAAATACACCTTTGAACAGAGGATAATATTTAAAAAACACTGTAATAAAGTATAACCAATTAATTTAAATAATTAAGTATATATTCCACTAGATTCAAATCTTTAGCTGGATTTTAGTTTATGTATAAAGTGGGATTTTAATATCTAAGTAGTGTTGTAAGTAATGAAAATATCAAAAATAGAAAAAAATGAGGAGAAAATGATGTATACAACAATAAAGAGAAGATGATTAAAAAAAACAGTAAAGTGAAATTCATTAATATTTTTCTTATAATTTCTTCGCCACATCGCTCTCATTTAGGTTAGAAATTCTTCTGTAGACCTTTGGTGTCCTAAAGGAAGATACTTAATAAAGTTTCACCATTATCAAACACATTGCTGGAAACAGAATAAGTGAACATATTTCTATAACATATTTTTATAACAGTACATCAAGGCAAACCAAAATTTCACAGTGTACATACAGATTATGGCTAGAGCCATACTTTTTTGTGCTTTTGTGTTATTAATGGCAAAACTGTTCTTTCAAGATAAGAATATATTTACACTAACATAATAATTGCAGAAGAAAACTGAATAAAATGTTAGGAACTTTTTTCAACTTACCCCAATTATGTCCGTTACAAATAGTAAAATATTCATAGTATTACAAAATACACCCACCCTGATAAATTATACAAGAACTGTATACTTATACCTTTCAGTTTTCAGTCTTAGACAGTCTCTCTTTGGAAAAGCTCAAATGGTTTCCAGAGAGCAATTTCTAAATTATGTATGATATAAAACACTTAATTTTAATTACATATAAAAATATTACTACCGTTTGAGGCAACAATAAAACAAAAATGGCTTACATTTTCTGCTATTATTTTACTTCTTTTTGGGCAATATATAGATGACACTTTATTGCAGTAAATAATCATAAATACTAAAACATACCTTGCCATGAGGATCAGCAAACATTCTTGTGAAAATCTCACATAATCTTTTCAGTTCAACTCGACTGTCAAAATAATACAGTGGCTAGTTAATATCTTGTTGTAGGAAGAAGTTATTTAGAAGTAATCTTATATATAATTAAATTTCTTAATAACAATGAAAATGTTAAAAAACAATCTGCCCTCAAAATTGAGAAATTTTTGGGATTTACTAGTTAGGGCTAAATACAAAGTTATCAAATGTAGCGATTCTGTTGTAACCCACATTATTTGAAAGTTATGAAAAGAAATACAATTGTATTTCATTAATGTAGTATGACAAGGGAAATTTTACACATGGCATTCCCAGCACATGAATCTTATCCTTTTACGTGCTAAGATGTTTTTTTAAATTTTGCCACTTTGAGTCTAAAATCTTTCTAAACTATGCCTACTCTCTTGCCATTTAAAATGATATACTGAATCTAATGTCAACTTAATCTTGATGGGGCTGGAAACAATATTATAATGATTTATTACGGTGATTTATGAAGTATGACATGCACACATAAAAGTATACTAGTTAGTACACAGATAAACATTTACTTTAAATTATACAGTTCTAATACTTTCTAAAATAAATACACAGCAAGTACATCAAACCCCTATTTCACATGTATTAAGTCAGGAATTAGTCCTCTCCATTCTACCATACTCAAACTTATGAAATATCTGAAGCTAGGTTCTTAAAGGGGTTGACTATATAAAAGACTCAAAACTACATAGACAAGGAAATGAAGAATGCAGGGCGGAAAAAAGCAAGCAAAAGCCATTAGGAAAGGAAATAAAACCAAAAACCAAAAAAACAAACTTCTGTTCTTAGAGAAGTTCATTCAACTGCATTTCCTATTACACTAAGATTCACATATTACATGAACACTAGGAATATGTGAGTACCTTCATTTCCAAATAAGCATAAACATTCTTTCCTCTCACTGAAAAACTTATCAGAAATGGATTTGAATAAACCAGTCAGCTTTATTATATGCATTTTATTATTTTAATTTTTAAAATTAATAACTGTTCACTTAACTTCTGTTCGTGAATAAAAAGTTTCCTTTTAAAATGTTTCATTAAATATAGCAAATGAATTATAAATTTTTTAGTAAACTATAGTATAGATGGTCCTAAAGGACTGAGGCTTGGGAAAAACACTTTGATGCAACCTTCTGAATTCAAGTCAAGTCTGTTTCTATACTAGAATCTTTAAAGTGTTACAGAAACAAAGTCAAGCCAAAAAGTGCTAACCTGACAAGATAATTAAAACAACACATCTCACCTTAGCGTTCTCTGATTTTTTAATAAGTTCTGCAGACCCAGGAGGCCTTCCTTCCTTTCTGACCAATTGGAACTAGCGCATCTATTGAGAACTTCGGCCACATCTTCTGTCTGCCTCATATATGTAGGAATACTACCATTTCGAGAACTATAGGAACGTTCTGAACAAGCACTGGACGCATCACTGTTGGCATCATCATCTGAATGCATTCCATAGGATTCATATCTTCTTCGAGCAGGTTTTTTCTGTTGTACATAAAGAATTGCATTAGCAGTAGCTAAAAGAATTTCATTTCTACTGAGAACAAAAGGATTTTTGTTTTAAAATAAGTATGAAGCATGCTGCTCATCATTGTAATAATAAAATGTCAATATTTAGTTTTTCTTCAGAAAACATGTTACAGAAGTTAGTAGAAGGTGAAACATTCTTTAACTATGGAAGTGGTAGAAGCAGAATAAGACTATATGGAAGTTCAGATATGTAAAGTGGGAAGTACTCAGAAATGTGGGTTTTTTCCCTTCTCCTTTCATGGAAAACCAAGAACAACCAGAATGTAAATGAACAGAAACTAGTAGAAATCTGAATTGGTAAGAAGAGAATACTACCTTTTAAAGGAGGAATACAATGGATCAGGAAAATGCATGTTTTCCCCTGTGTAAAGTTCCATTTTTTCCCTTTCTCTCAACCTTCTTTCCTCTACTCTCCTTTTGCCTCTACTACCACTTCTCTTACTACTATTCCTTCCCTTGTACCCAACCCTTCATGTCTCCTAGAAAAGTAAAATACAAAGAATGATGAAAAATTGTTTTGCTTACTATTATTATTTAGGAGGCAAGTTCCGTAAGGGACCTCCGTGCTTTGCTCAATGTATGTAAACCAACTATTTCAAGAAATGTTAGAAAACATATTCAGATTCCTTTGATTTCTTTACATCTAAGACATTATTTTATATATGCGATATTAAAAGTGAAATGAGAGAGAATAAGTGGCTTATTTGAGATTTCCTGGAAGAATTAAAAACAAATCTTTATGTAATCTGTTATTTGAATTTTGACTGGTGAATGGTGAAGATGTTTCTATAAAACATATTAAGCACAATAATTTAAAATAGTTCCAGGTGGCTCTAAGTTTGCCCAAGTCTAAATTCTAAAAGAAATATGATTTGAACTTAGTGATTTCCATCTCTAAATGCCTAATATTGATCTAGAGATATCAATTTATTTATTTATTTATTTTTATTTATTTTTTTCCTTTTTGTCTTTTTTCGTGACCAGCAACGGATCGCAACCCTCAGTGTCGCGCCTGTACCAGACCGGGACTGGCAACGGGATCGCAACCCTCGGTGTTGCGCCCGCACCTCGCTCAGCCAGTGAGCGGCCGGTCTGTATGTGGGATCCGAACCCTCGGCGGGAGCGTCGCTGCACTCCCAAGTGGCGTACTGTAGCAGTGCGCCACCGGGCCGGCCCCTAGAGATATCAATTTAATTTAGAATGGTAACACTGTGATATTTCCTGTGTTGGGCTCTAGGAGCAGTCTTTTTACAGATGTTAGTGTGAATGACCTCACCTCCTTTATATGAAGTAGTCAGGCTGAAAGGACTAGCACCCCCACAAGACACTCTATTCAAGCAGTATCTCCCTCTTGATAATTATATTTACAGAAAAACAGATGTATGTCTAAGGATTTTATTACTTCCATTTTATTTTTTTATAGAAGACCATCATCTGTTAAATTGATGAAGCAAAGAAAAAAAGTGATGGTATCATAAGATGTCAGAAAATAGCAATGTCTATACCTTAGTCCGTATGTCTCCTAAGAGCTGAGAGCAGTAAATTTTTAAAGAGAAAAATTGAAAATAATGAAGAACATTTTGCTAAACAGAACAGTGAAGTAGACATTAACAATGCCTATGATCAGAAACATTACGTTTTTTAACATACAGATACAAAAGAGCTGCTTATAAGTGGGCTATATCTTTAATCTTGTCAATATGCTTTAGTTTAAAGAGTTATCTAAGCTATAAAAATATTTCCATAACCAGTTTTCCCAAAGACACTCAAATATTCTATTTGGATCCTTTTGCCATTTCCAAAGTTAATTTTATTTTTATGATTTTCCTCAGGTCTAAATTAGGCTTAATAGTTGGAAAGTTTTTTCTTAAAAATTGATTACCAGAGTCTCCGTGCTATGCAAATAAAAGTAGACAGAATTGATTATTGAGGTTCAGATTTCAGCATTGGTGGCTAAGTATTCCTCATATAATTCAAATACAACATCTTAGTATTATAAGTAATAGCTCAAGAATAACCTATTCAATTCATAAAATTTATGTAAGTAGAATTTAACTGGTAAATCACCCAGTTAAAAAAAACTAGAAAACGTGACTTGAGAAATAGAATAATGAGTAACAGTACATTTAAAACATCTGATTGATTAATATCATCAGAACAAAATGCGATCAATATACCCCATGCCCAAGAGAACAAAGTCCCTACTTAAAGTAGTATTAATTTATAAAAAATAACCAAATGGCTGAGGTAAAAGGAAAAATCCAACACATGTTGACTGTTAGAGCAGAACTGCATATGTGATGACATTCAATAAATTATAACTATTACCAATGAATATTTTTAAAAACTTGTTTTTCAAATCTATGTGGCAAAAATTATTTATATCAACACTGGTTAATATGTGATCTACAGCTTTAGAGGCATAATGTATTTTTTTATTTCAAAACAAAGATGAGGCCTTTTATAAGTTGTGGATAAGAGACTGAGTAAATAGTTCTCAAATATAGGATTAATACAATTTGAAAGAGGAAATGTCATACTGAATGATTTGGGAAATTAGCCAAAGCCAGTTATATACATTGTTTCAAATGATACTTCCTTCATAATTTTTGGTGAGAATAACAACAGCGATATATAGCTCTACTAACAAACTATCATGGATCTGTAGAACATTTTTTAAACCTCATCATATTCAGGCATAAAGAACCAGGAAGATACCTTAATTATAATTTGCTTTGAGGCTGTACTTTCTCTCAGCTCAGAAAATACAAATAATTAAAAGACTAAACAAGATCCGATCCCAAACTAAAACAATCTCTAAATACTCAAGGTTAAGCTAGCCTTGAAATTACATGCTTGTCGGTGTACATATTTATACTTATCTACCTTCCCTTACCTTCAGTATACTACAGTGTTTGAAAGACATTATCATATTAAAGACATCAATATTTATATTCATGACACTCCTCCATTGGTACTGTTGGCTCTGGCTTAAAATTCTGAGTAATTAAAAGACCAAGAATTAATTACAGTCAGACCTCTGTATCTGTGGGTTCTGCATCCACAGATTCAACTAACTTTGGATCAAAAATATTTGGATTAAAAAAATTGCATATGTACTGCACACGTACAGACTTTTTTTCTTATCATTATTCCCTAAACAGTACAGTATAATAACTATTTACACAGCATTTACACTGTATTAGGTAGTATTAGTAATCTAGGGATGATTTAAAGTATATGGGAGGATGTGCCTATGCACACATTATATACAAATATTATGCCATTTTATATCAGAGACGAGCATCTGAGGATTTTGGAAGTCCTGGAACCAATCCCCCGCCAATACTGAGGGACAATTCTGCTTTTTACATTGTTTCTTCCTAAATTTAATTCACAAGAATTTTCCCATCCCCTTTCCCACATGAGTGGTCTGGCTTCCTCACGTTAGTTACATAATTGGAACATTTATAATGATAAGGAAATGGAGAAGAGTACCAAGGCATCTGCTACCGCCTCCTCCACGTCGGAACCTGTGTTCAGGACTCGCATGGCACTGACAGAAGATGACAATCGGCTTGACTGGCTCATCCCATACCCAAGACCTAATTAATCAAAAGAATGAAAACAGCTTTGAGAGAGTCCTAAATGTAACAGTGTCTGCTTGGGAAATTTTAAGGGAGGAAAAAAACCAATGGGGCAAAGCATTTTAAAAGCAATATTGTATTTTCTGGGCACATTTAATTTTTGGTAAAATGAAAGAGTAAAGGCAACTAAAATTATTGACAATACGTAGAAAATAAACTTAACGAATAGTAACTATTTATTTATTACCACAAAGTAGAAGAAAGCATGGCTGGCAGACTATAGCTTGCAAATCTATAGCCCATTAATTAATCCAGCTCTATCAGTGAAGGCAAATCTCATCCATAGGGGTGAACCACAGAGTAACCCAGAACAAAGATCAATCCTCAACCAATAACGGTTAGAAAAATCAATGAAGCCACACCGGGAATTTACAAGGGAAAAAGTTCTAATTGTTATCTTCTCTCCTTCAAAATAGGTCGATTTCATTCTATAACTAAGACAGATCACTTGATATCTGTTTAGTGCCCAACATTCTGAGGTATATAAAGACAAACCAGAGATGAATTCTCCCCCTCAACTGCTTTCTATACCATCATTTACAATTAAAACACTTCATCCACCATTTTGGTTTTTTTTTTTTTTTTTAACGTATATACAAACATGAAGTACATAATTGAGAACGTAAAACAATTTTACATTTTAAAATGACATAACATGTTATACAAAAGAAAAATGTCCATTTGCCAGTGAGAAAAATATTCAATAAGGTTGCTGAAGGGGAAAATAATTACTTGGGGAAAAAGAAAAAAAACCACAAATGATTTATTTTTCCAAGAAATTAAACTTAAATAAAAACAAACCAATTTTAAAACAAATATTATTCAATGGAAACTGAAAAGGACAAAAATCTGAGATGAATGCACAGATGATAGTGAAAATGTACTCATCCTTCACCTGAGGCCCCATACACATCGGGGGCGTAGAGGGCACCAGTAGATCTGGAATGGTGTCTGGAGGCTGGAATAACAGGACCATTTAAACCTCATCTACTACCATAGAAACAAGGAATAGTGGCAGCACTACTGTCAGGCAAGGAGAGTTAGTTAACACTGGTATTACTCCTAATAGGTAATGATCAGAATATTGCCAAATAGGGCAATTGAACATTAGCACTGCAACATCATCCCTGACACACAAATAGATCTTACACCTAAGTGGACAGACACAGGTCTGCAGGAGACAAAAAAAAAAAAAAAGCAAGTATTCAAATGGAAGGAAATGTTAAAAGTACAAGCATGAAACAAAAAAACAAACACTGCAGTTAAAAAAAAAAAAACCACTATGGTAACTGGTAACTAATAATCTTATCTCCTTTAATCCTGACACTCAATGGAGCAGTTATTACTATCCCATTTTACAGGTGGTGCTGTGTTCTAAATGTTTATCTCCTCCTCTCCCTCAATTCATATGTTGAAATCCCCAAGGTGATGGTATTAGGAGGTGAGTGGGGTCTTTGTGAGGCAATCAGGTCATGAGGGTGAAGCACTCATGATTTGGATTAGTGCCCTTATAAAAGAGACCCCAGAGCTACCTAGCTCCTTCTACCATGTAAGGACACAAGGAGAAGGCACCATCTATGAATCAGGAAATGGTCCCTCACCAGGCATTGAATTTGCCAGCACCTTAATCTTGAATTTCCTAGCCTCCAGGACTATGAGAAATAAATTTCTGTCATTTATAAGTACCCAGTCTATGCTATTTTGTTATAGTAGCCTGAACAAAGTAAGACAGATGGGGAAACTAAAGCATAGAGAGAGGTTGATTAATTTGATCAAAGTCACATATTATAGATTCAATTGTGTCCCCCCCAAAAGTTTAATGTATTGGAGGCTTGGTCCTCACTGTGACAGTGTTAAGAGGGTGTTAAGTCTTATTATGGTAATTGAAATGCAGGGCCTTGAAGAGGTAATTAGATGGCAGGACCATGCTGTGGTAAATGGATCAAAAATGGTGGTTGGGGCATGGTTCTGATGGCTTTAAAAGGAAAGTGCATGAGGAACTTTCTCTCTGCTCGGCCATTTTCTGCCCTGTGAGACCCCTAGGTCACTGTCACCACCAAGACCCTCACCAGATGTGTTCCCCACACTGTGGACTTCCCAGCCTCCAAAACCGTAAGCAATAAATTACATTTTCTTTATAAATCACCCAGTTCCAGGGATTTCTGTTATAAGCAACGAAACCAACTAAGATCACACTACTAGTAAATGATACACCTCAGTATCTGTACGCTTTCAAGGGCTCAGCTCTTAAACAGTATGAGGGTACTTCAAAAAGTTCATGGAAAGATTCATATAATCTTTTTTCCATTTTTCCATGAACTCTTTGAAGTATCCTCACACAAGTACCACCTTCAGATTGTTCCAAACATAATTCACTTCAATTATGTTAATATAAACATTTTCCATAATGGTTTACAAAATTTAAGTTCTGCATTCAATAGATTATTTAAATATCTTTTTTTTTTTGGTGGCTGGCGGTAAGGGGATTCAAACCCTTAACCTTGGTGTTATAACACTATGCTTTAACCAACTGAGCTAACTGGCCAGCCCGTTTATTTAAATATCAAAACACATTTGAATATCAAAAAGAATACTAATAACTTAACCAGAAAACCTAGAAACTTGTGACATGTCTTCCTATACATTGTTCTAGAATCTAAATTTAACATGTTTTGCATTTTAGATCTTAAAATTCTGATTTTCATAATGCCATAAAGTCAATCTTTCTCTTACATACAGAAGTCAACAGGAAAAAGTCATTTTAATACTTAATGAAATTTATGACTTTTATTTTAAAAGTTACTCTGATATATTAATTACAGCAGTTAAGATACTTTTATTACATGAATTACTCCTTTGCTATAGGACAACCTTATCAAATAAGAAAATGATCAAAAAGATTAAGTGAAAGAAGGATTAAACAAACAGAATGCTGCACAAAATATTTAATCAGCCCTGAAAGGTGATTGGTATTATTAGTAAAATATACTAATACACAGTTTTAATTTTACCTAACATAATTTCTAAAATGGTGAGAAAAAGTTGCGCAAATTTGGAAATCCCTAGTGGACACAAATCTTTGAAAACTTTATAGAATCAACAATTACCTGTGGCTGAAGATAACAGGTAAAAGGTAACACCCACATGTTTGTAATAAAGTAAGTCTTTTTTTTGAATCTTGGTTCCAGAAATAAACAGAAACTAAAAATGCAAGTTCCAAAGTTCAGCTTTGCTCAGGTCTGATTTATTTCTGATGCTTTACAGCCTCACACTGGCCCTGTGATACACGTGAATTCATAACAAGCTATGGGATTCATCTACTGAATAGCAATATTCAAAGTCATAGATGACAAAAGTATTCCAACAAGTAAACAAATTTAGTAAGAACTGCAGAATGTGGGCAAATATAGAAGAAAATGGAAATGATGAGGACACTTTAATCTGTGAGAATGCTACTCTTCATCCCTGTGAAACAAACAGAGCCAATCAGCTACCTTTCCTATGCAGTACCCACATGTAAATAAAAAGGCTATGAAAAATCAATTCCTCAAAAACTGTGTGATTAAAAGGTTTAATCAATTTTACCCAAATAGGGTTTCATAAGAATCAGGAAAACTGCTTCCCTTAATAATAAAATTTAAGTAATTTAAATTGTTAAATGGAAGCTTTGAGATGAATCTAGAAAATCAGTGGCTAGAAAACATATCTCTTTAAAAATTGGCATATTATCAGTGTTTAATTTTTTTTTTTTTGTCCTTTTTGAGACCGGCCGCACTGCGCTCAGCCAGTGAGCGCTGTGAGCGTACCTGTCGTCCCTACATAGGATCCGAACCCGGGGCGGGAGCGCTGCTGCGCTCCCAGTGCTGCATTCTCCCAAGTGCGCCACGGGCTTGGCCCTCAGTGTTTAATTTTTAAGTAATTAGTAGTTGATTATAAATTTCCTCTAATCTCTGACTACAATACAGGTTTAGAAGATACAGAAGCATATTTTAGTTTCTTCTTGATACATTTTCCAGTAATTCTGCAGTATTAGCCTTATAGAAATGCAGGTCTGATACCATTAAAAAATCTGAGATCCTTGTCACTAAAGTGCAATGGAAACTGTTTCTAGGGTAAATGATTAGAGCTTCAGTGGGGAGAGGAGGAGCAGTAGTGGCACTAGCAGCAGACGTGGCAGTGATAATGACCATAATGACCATGATAAGTGAGAGCTCACTGTGTACCAAGCACTGCCCTGAGGGATTTTTTTCATGTATTTTCTCACTTATAGGGTCTTCAAAATATCCTAAGAGTACATGCTATCATTATCCTTGTTTTACAGATGAGGAAACCCAGGGATAGGAAGGTTACAGAGCTGGCATACAAACCTAGGCTGTCTGACCCTAGAACATATGTTCTTAAACCACCACACACCCACTCCACTTCTCTCAACTTTTCAAAGTGGCATGCTTATTTGATACAAATGTAAGATTTATTTCCTTTCTTTAAATGTATACACATGAGGACGCAACATGTACATATGTGTGTGGGAGGAGGCTTCGTGCACACACACATATGCAGACATTCTACAGACTATCTCTATTGTATATGAACTAAAAACATCTCCAGCAAGGTATCTGCCACACATAGCCTTATTTACCTTGGCACTCTTTTTACTTTGGCACCCTTCCACAGAGGGAAGTGAAAGAGGGAAATTCTCTGGCATCTGGGGCTGGAACACAAACAAGGGTTGAGGATCTCCCTGTGTGTCCCTAGCTTAAGGGGGTTTTCTAGGTCATTACAGGACAATCCAGTGATATATTTCAGCCAAATGGTCCAGAGAATCAGAATTTAATCACTAAAAACTCTATACTAGCATGTCTGTCTGAGGGATTAAGAATTCTGATAGGAGAACTATGTTTTGCTTAAGTGTCCCCAAATCTGAAGAGCAGCTCTCTAAGTATTACAGTAAACTACAATGTGTCAAAGAAAAAAATCTGAAATGGCTATAGGTCTGTGAATATAGACAAAGTACTAGTGAAAATGCTGAAGGATCAGGCAGAATCCTAAATGTAAAAGATTCTAAAACTAAAGAACTTCAATGTAAAAAATGATGCCACTCTGGTTATTCCAAAACTATTAAAGGTTTTAAAATATCATTTAATATTTTCATAATTGAGATAAATATCGTATTCTAATCAAGGTTACAATACATCAGGTACCAACAGGTTTTACAGCAGTGACATAAAATGAGCCAATATATAGGAAACAACGGTTAAAGTACAAAATATTATAAAAATGTTAATACCTCCGATTGATAATAAGTAATTCATATATTATTTTATAGCACTCTTTCTAGTAATCTAAGTTAAATGATCTAAGTTAAAATGTTAATATTTTTGTTACTTCATGGTCACACTTTAGTCTCAGCCAAAATGATTACCACCATCATCGACCAAATTTAATTTCTGGTAACTTTTGACCACTACAGAAATTTCTAATCTATTCTCAAAGTATTTACCACTATTAAGGCATTCAAAAATATTCATTACAGTCTTGGAATTATTTTTAAAGTTCCTTAATTCAAAAGGCATTCACTCATTCACTCACTTATACTGGGGAGCACAAAAGGACAAAAGTATTTATTTTATCAAATTAAATAGTCCATATTTAACTTGAGTAAATATTTAAATATTATCTTTAAATTTTGTAGATTTACTTGTTAATAAAAATCTTGAATTCAATATTCTGAAGTAAATCTGTGGGACATTTAGTATAATCACGAAGGCAATTTATTCACATAATTTATTTACACAATTTATTTACACATGTTCATTTAAAAGTAAATCAAATGAAAAGAATTTCCCAAACATAAAATTTCCTTCAGACTCTTTCCTCAACATGACAGAAAAGAGATAGATAGGGGCAAAGACATACTTGATAAAGAAAGCTTAATCCCAGGTAGGCTGAGGTTATCAGATGGTGATAATATAAGGAGTAAGCAATGCACCTCACATCTACCCAAATACTCACCAAGGGGCTGGAAAGAGCGAACAGGACTTGTGTCCCTGCTGCTCTCCCGACTAGCTTCCCGGCTGCATCCTTGACTCACACTTGGTCGAGGAATACGACTGCTTCGGGCTGGTTTGAAGCAACAGCATACAGCATGGGAGAAAACAAAAGACAGAGTGTGCATTTTTAAAAATTTTGGTTTTATTTTTCTTTCTTAAAGACTAATAAATAACTTAAGTTTTTCTAAAGTTGAAAAGAAATTACCTGATGAAGCGTTACCAGGAATACAGTTAAATTTCTTATAGTCCTCTAGTGTGTATAACATTAGAAAGGTAAAATAATATTTTACTAAAATAAAAAGGCAGCAAATAAAAAGATTTTAAAACTCAATTTTTCCTTTTGTTGATTGAACTTTAAAGACTCCTGTCATTTTTGGTATCTTAGGTCAAAATCTTATTTTTAATAGAGGGAAATCTATACATATCAAATATTAAAGCACAATGCCCATTTTTAAGTTTTCTGTTCAAGATAAAGAGAAAAAAATGAGCCAGTGCTTTCAACTCCCTTCCCTTTTCTCACTCCTTACAAATAAAAAACACAAATACAAATGCAGAAAGAAAACAAGTAACAGAAAATCTAGGGGCAAGGATTGACTAAAAGTGGAGTAGAGAATTTAAAACAATTTCTTGAACACAAAAAGTGAACCAACCTAGATTAAAACTTCAGAGGCTCCTGGGCACAGGATAAGTGAAAAGTGCTACTAAGGACATTAATTCAAAGTCTGTAGGCCTAATAGAAGTCTGTGTCATCTACTGAATAAAGACATTCTCAGAAAAGTAAGACTTCAAAAAGCTTGATTCCTACACACAATTTCTAAGAAATTTATTTGAGAATGTGAATGAGCAAAGCAATAGAGTAAATCAAGAAAGAAGACAGAGGATCCAGGAAAGAGTGCCTTCAATCCAGGGAAGCACTAAATGTGAATCTCAAGATGACAGCTGAGCAAGAGGTCCAGAGAAGCAACCAATCCAGAGAGTACTGAAAAGAAAGTCTCCAGAAAATAAGGAACTCCATACAATAGTCAGTATTACTGAAGGAACAGCAATATTAGAAGATATGAGACAGGCATATTATTCTTTTATCAACTATTAAAAAAGGAAATATAATTAGAAAATTCTGGAAAAAATTATATAAGAAAGTCACTTTCCAAATACAAAACAAACAAATGTGGCATAATTTTAAGTAACTGATAGGGCTGTAACAAAAGATAATTTGTTTCTTTATAATAGGAACATTTTCCTTCAAGTGGTCTCTAACACTCAACACTCAGTTGACCTTTGGAAAGAAATGTGGTCATAGCATACTATATGTCTTGGCAGAAAACAACATTTATTTACTCATAACACAGTAAATGTTATTTATAGCTTTTCAACTTTTAAAGCCAACTCATGGAACAAGTACATAAGACTTGCTTGTGGATGCAGAAGAGAATGTATGTGTAAATTTTAATAATGTAAAAATGAAACTCTAAGAGAATAGAAGGGAAAGGTGTGGAAATTGAGATACTGATTGAAGTTGGTGAAATAAGAAACGAAAATATGAGCTTATTCTTTAAAGTTACATAAGAAATCTACAAAAGACATTTAAAACAATGAAAAACAAATGATTAAAAGAAGTTGGAATAATTAGGGGATTTCTACTCTACGAATGATAGATCAAGCAGCAGCTATCCTAAGGATAAAGTCATAAAGCAGAAAGGAAGGGAGGATGGGAGGGAAAATACACCGACAGACAGATTTTGGGTCCATGACGGCAGTGTTAATCAATCAACCCCATATCAATAAACTCTGAAGACTGTACAACCTCCAAACTTTTCAGTTAAAAGAGCCAATAAATCTCTTATTGTTTAAGCTGGCTTAAATTGAAATTTTTGTTTCCTGAAATTGAAAATATCCTGTTCAATACATAGAGAAAGTAGAAGTTTATGAGTCTTTGAACAGGGCTAACCTACAATACAAATGTTAAATACAAGCAGCTAACATATATACATATACATTTATACGTACACTCACACATACATGACAAGTATGTTGTAAATTCTGTAATAATCTTGTGCTTTAAAATATTAGCTATATTTTCCATAGCTCCTATGAATTATACTTTCAAGATAAGATATCTAATTCAACTCATTACCTATATTCCAATTCTCTTTGAATTTATAAATTGTTTACTTCTAATTTCTAAGTCCCTAATCATATTCCAAAGTCTTTAATGCTACCAAAGCCTCAAACACAAAAGAAAGGTTGCAAATCTTACAAAGAAAATCTTACCCACTGAAAGCCTAGATGGACTAGCCTCTCTGCTACAGCCCTGGCTCCGTGGTATTTTGCTTCTCTTCTGTGCTGAGGCTGAATTGACCAGCACCCTTTGAACACCAGAGCTCACAGTGGAGAGGGCTGTCGTAGTCAGAACTCTTCCTGGAGACCCAGACCGGCTGCCAGCTGAACAACCAAACACACAAACAAATATTAAGACATGAACTCCAAGTGAAATTGTTGAAAGGATAAAAAATTCAAGAAATACACCTGAGAAAACTGTAATAGTATGGCAGGTTCTAAGTTCAAAGGAAATGGACTGAGGAAGATTTACATATATAATTGTAACCTGGGGTGGGGGGAATATAGATATACAAGCATTCAATGGTAAAACATTGAAAATATATTTTCAATTTTGGGATACTATGTTTAATAAGGACAACACTATTATGATTTTTAGAACATAAACAGTATAAAAGATTTCCAAAGAAGTCATTTATCTTCAATTTTATTTATTTTTGTGGGGTACGGTATGTTGTTTCAATACATGCATATACTGCACAACAATTCATTTAGAGTAGATAGCATAGATAATACATTTCATATGGCTAAATGCTCTAATGTGAAAAGCTATATATTGAAAATGAAAAAAACTCAATAATTCTATTACTGCTATTATTTTTGTTAAGTAAATAATAATGATAATTTGCTTCATCTTAAAACTGTTTGCCTGCTGAGATGCCTCTGAATAGATATGGCAAAGTTATTTCTCTTGTTACCATGTATATTTAAAATTTTTACAAAATTAAACTTTAAATATTGACAAAATTGGGTCAGCTAAAAAAGAAATAGCTTTTTGCTATTTGTTTTCAAATAGCAATGGGTTCTCAGGTGGCCACATTCTGTGATATAGAGGTACTGAGGGTAGAACAGGAGTAATGGGCAAATGTCAAAGAAGTCAGACCCTTTCCAAACTAGTGATTTTCAGTCTTGGAAGGCAGAGATGTGGTCAGGGAGATAAAAAGGGGAAGCTAGATAAAATCTTTGCAGAGTCTGGGGCACAGGTTAAAAGAAAGTTAAAAAACATGGTTTGAAACCAGAAATACATGGGTTAACTTTTAAGGAGATGAGCTCCCTGTCAAAGCATTTCATGCCTATGTGGGATAGCAAAATGGACTAGATAAGTCCAATATATAATCAAACTCTGGATTCTGAATGGTAGCATTATAGAAAAATTAAATGTACACTTAAATAAATCTTCATGAAGCAACTTTTTCCCTTCATTAGGCACCACTTCTCCTACTCACAGGAGAGTCACTGCTCATGCTGTACAATCTTACCCAACTATGCTTCATTTCCACAGAGCAAAGATTGAAGACTCCAATGCCAATGGAGACAAGAATAGAATATCAAAGAGAGAATGGTAAGAGGACTGTGATCAAGAAGGGATTGCCTGCTCTTTCCTAAGGGGAAGGTGACTTTAGCTCTAGACAGCTCTGTCTTGAGGTAATATTGGCCAGGTCTTGGAATCTTTCAAAAATGAAAGCTTTGCAATTTCCTGAATTTTATCAAGTTGTATACGTCAAACAATACATGAATGGAGGCAGGCTAGATGCGGTCCATGGACTGCTGATCTGTTTCCCTTGCTACAGTTTTCTTGGCATGGTCTTGCTGAGTACAATTTATACTCCTGCTTAATTCCTAAATTTTACCAGCACACAAATTGAAGCCTTCCACTGGTGATAGCAATACTGTAAAATAAAGCAGTATTTCCAATGAAATTAATAATTTACTATTTAAGTAGAAGGAACTCTAAATTATTGAAGGGAAATTATTCAAGCCTACTTTAAAATGACAACTCATTTGAATGTTCCATGATGTTTCAAGTGAAGAATCTTGAAGTCTGGTTTCTTTCAGTTACAACAATAAGAATACTCATAAGGTACCTATTTTCTCCATGCACTGTCTAAACTAAACATACACACCAAAACATTCAAACACCCACATGCCACAAACTCACAATGCAAGATAGGCTAATGGAGCATTTTATGGGAAAACTCGCAACAATATAAAAAGTACAAATAATGAACTGAGCACACACAATATGGTATTCTATTAAAACCAATATAAATTTGGGGTGGAGGTGTTGGTAGGAGAGACTGGAGAATTCCTCAAAATGCAGGTCTATTCAGCAGATAGGAAACATGCAGTTTAGAAGCAGAGTAGGGCTGGCCAGTTAGCTCAGTTGGTTAGAACATGGTACTGATAACAACAGGGAACCCCCCCCCCCAAAAAAAGCAGAGTAACTGCTCTTTCTACTCTAGAATTATTATGTAAGCTCACTCTCTATTTAAATTCTTTCATGCCCTTTCCAAGGAAATGAAATTGGCAGTGTTCATTTTGCTTTGATCATTACCCTCTCTTCTCTAATATCCCTGATCCCCACCAAGAGTGTGAAAATTCCAGTGCTGATGACTCATTTTGGAATTATTTATACTTAGAAGAAAATAGCAAGGCTCCTTCCCCAGCAAAGAGCCATCAATCCATTTCTTTCTTTTAGGAAAACCAAAGTTGATGAAAAAGGGCACGATGTGCCCAGAAAATAGCATGCTACCAGAAAATATCCTAATTTGAAAAACCTGAAATTATATATTTATTTTCTCTTGTACTACCTAAGGTTTTCAAACTACTACTTTATACTTTTAATGGCATTTTAAAGTGCTACTAAGGCTTCTTTTCTTCTGAATATTTTTATCTGCAGGATCAACTTGGATAATTTTAAAAATTCAGGATCTTGGTAATAAAATAAAGACAGGCCAAAGAAAAATCATAATTGGCAGTTTTTGCCACAATATGACTACAGAATCGTAGACTATTATATGTTAAGAATTTCTGCTGAATAGAACCCATTCTTGGTAATGAAAATTGGTGATCAAACAATAGATGTACAAATAAAGTCTATAGATTCTTACCACCAATGGTATTAGCAGATTGTGATCCTGAACAAGTGTAAAGGCAGAATTAGGGTAAGGGTTATAATCCATAAAGAGGGATGGAGCAGTTTTAAAATGGATGGCAGATGGAAATAAGAAAGGTTTAGTCAGTTCTTAGAAAACAAAAAAACCCTAAAGCAAAAAAAGCAAACTCCAAAAAATCCCCAAAGCACAGACATCTGTAACAAAAGCAGTACATTTAGTAGTTTTTACAGCTGATAAACTAAAATTAGACACTCATGTACAAAGCAGATGAAATGAAGTTGCAATAGGTAAATTCTTCAGCTTTCCTACTACTGATAGTCCAAAATCTAAATAATTAAATGTTTAAGTTTTTATTATTTAAACATTTAATTTAAAACTACACATAAGGAATGAGCACATCTTATAGCTGAAGAAAAATTACATGAAAAGCTACAAATTTCATCTTTCTTGAGACACATAGGAAAGAAAACAAAAAGTGGCGTGAGGGGAGACAAGGTTTCTGACAGACTGTAAAATTATTTGTACACAACCAATCACTACCAACAAAAAAGAGACAGAATTCTTTCATAAACATAAATCTAGAAGTCTATCCATTGGACCTGCTTTTATTTATTTTGGATAACCATCAGAAGACACCTGCTTTGATCCAAGAGATTTTTTTTTTTCTAAATGGTGATACAAAAATATGGAAAGACCATGCAAACCCTAATGAATTACTTTACAACAAAGTGAAGATGGAGATCACAGTAATATTTCTGTGCAAATATGTTATAAAGAAACTTGCATACAAATTACATAGTATCTTTTATACAAAAGAATTTGGAATGGAACCTATAGGAATTCAAATATACAGGCAAGCAAACAAACAAAAACTCCTCCAGTATGATTCAAAACCTAAGTGATTTCATAGTGGGAAAATCTTCTGATCATAAAGTCCTATTAGGTTTAAAAAGCCAATCATTGCGTTCTCAGAATTTAGGAGAGGATTTGGAGTATTGTGGATTGGGTTTTGAAGTGAAAAACCAAATGCAAAAAAATTATTCCTTTTTCTAGTGAAGTGATGTTACAATATACCTAAAAAGGAAGTCTGTTAAGAAGTATATTTAAACAAAATTTTTTTTTTTAATCTTTGATGTGAGATGAGCCTTAGTATTATTTTAGAAAAAACTAATACCTCAAAATTAAGTTTTATCCTTAGATCTTGGACATAGATAGTTTTTGATTGTTATCTTTATTTTTCTTTATGCTTTAAATTTCCTAACTTCATCATTATTTATTTTGCTGTTTCCTGAAGGCAATAACAAGGTACAGAAGTACACAATAGCAGTATAAAATTCAGTTGGCATTTGATTAAGAATAATAATGAGGACAATTTTATCAGCTAACATATACAGTTCTTAATCTGGGCCAGGCACTGTTTTAGGTGTGTTAAATATATAACATCATTTTATCCTCACAAGAATCCTCTATGATGTATATGCTATTATCTCCTCCTTTTACAGATGAGTATACAGAAATACAGTGACTTAGAAGAGCCAGAATTCAAACCTGGGCAGAATGGCTCCACAGTCCGTGATCTAAATTAGTACTTCAGAAACTTCATTGTGACACACATCACAGAAGATCTGAGATGGCACATAAAATTTTGCATTTCTAACTAGCTTCCAGGTGATGCTGATGCTGGTTTGGGCAGCACGTATGGAGGAACAAGGCTCCCAACTACTATGCCACACTGCTAAAGATTAAGTTACTTTAAGAATTACTCTAAAGATATACAAGATCAAGGAGAAATGTGATGTGATCTACTCCTGATTTGGCTGAGAGAAAAGCTCTTGCTTAGAGGACACAGGCCATTTTTCCTATTTGTAAATAATCCTCAATTTGCAAAGCAATTTTACTGAGTATTTCTGCTCATTTTTACGATTGTTACTGAGTGCTCTCATCATTACTCTGCCTGAATTTTCTGACTTTGGAAAGAGAAGAGAAGAATCTGTTAGGCAGGACTTATGTAATCACCATCTTCCCCCTCCAAACCCAACTCTTTTCCCTGATTCCAAGATTCAGAATTCAGGTTAAAAAACAGAAAAATGGGACATCCATATCTTAATAAATAACCTAAAGAACAATGGAAGACAGCTAAATCCATTTCTTTCCAAAACAGCCAAGCATATAGAATAACCCCCAAAATTATTTCCCTAGAAAAATGTCCTGGTTTTAGAGATAATTGTTAACGAAAATCTCTTTGTACAGAAAAAATGGGAACAAATTGTTTTAAAGTAATAATGCCATAAATGTATGTGTTACTATTCTGGAACATGTAGAAAAAGATCATTCATTTTACCTAAGTCCTCAAAATTGCAGTTTTTAATAATCGTGCTTATGAGGAACTTAGCTTCCAATGAAACAGCAAAAATATAAATCTTAAATTTAACAATGAATACAAGAGAACTGGTCATTTCAATTTATGTTTCCTCACTATAAATCAATGTATCCCTGCCAAAAATGCTAACAAAAAATAAGGTATCTAATAGATTTTTGGGGAGAGTAAGAAGATACCACATATCTTTCCTTGAATATACGGCAATTATTTTGGCTCTCAAAAGCAGAATTTTGCATATTTGCAAGTTTCTAAGTAGAATGTGAAAATCTTAATACTAAAGATTTTTGCTATTTAAAATATCTCCATGCAAAAATTTGTACAGCAGATGAAGTTTTTCTTTCTAAGTGGCAGATATCAATGATGAAACCCTAATAACACACCAAAGACAAGACAACACCCACTCAAAAAATTCCAAAACATGCATAACAACTGACCCAAAACATTGAAAAAATACCTTCGTTTTTGTCAGGTGATGATGAACCTAAAGTACAGAACAAGAACTCAGTATGTGGCTTGTCTTTTTGAATTAGCTTTGTCTTTATCCACTGGTCAATCTCCTAAAGGCAATATACAAGCAATATACTTATCTTAACATAATGACAAATATAAAAGGACTGATAAGCAATACATACGCTGTGACTGAGACACCATTTTTGTTCGACTTCTTCCTCTAGAATCTGTCTTGGCATTTCCCATGCCAGCAAGTGGTGCTGAAAGCTTTGCTCTTACCCGGCCTGAGGAATAAAATATTTACATAATTAAAGACATTTTTCTACAATAATATTTAGTAATGAGGGGAAAAAACTATTTGCAAGTATTGTTAAATTCTGTAATAATGTAAACATCACTTGCAGGTGATATTTCTCTTAAAATTTTTAAAACACATACTTTTTTTTCATGATGTAATGTAAGCTAACTTTTCTTTAAGGGTAAGAATAAAGTGAAACTAAAAGATTTCTATTCCTAATTTGCTATTATTATTCCAGTAGTTATAATTACGATAATTACTATAGGCATACTATTTGTTTCTTAATTGGTAGTTCCAGTTCAAAAATTTCTTTCCATAAAATTTAGATTATTCTCAAATCCACCCTACAGTTTTACATATAAACCCCCAAATTTAGAAGCAACAAGCCAAACAATCCTTTTGACTGAAAATGTACTTCTACAAGAATTGCAGGAAGAGATATTATTGGGCAAAATATTTTATTTATTTATATTAAATTACTACAGATGTATACAGACACGTTCACTGCTCTCTTCCCCCAGTAAATCAACTTCATTTATAAAATGATTTGAGGAAATACATGTCACATAAGTGGTGGAACTTTTCTCAATATATTTCTTTCTCTACCTCCTGGTTGCACTCCTATCTCCTCTACCACTGCTTCCCCCTCCTCGACGAAACTAGCCCACAAACATCCTCATCCTATTTCTAGAGCTCTTGAACCAAAGAAGGCATGTTTATCAAAGTGCTTAAAGTAAGCTGCCTTTGGTAAAAACAAGTGATGATAGAACAATATTACTAGCAGATACTTTGGTAGAGTCAAGCAATAGCCTTAACCACTATTAAATCAGAACCAAAACTAAACATATTCATAAAGAAGGGCTCAGAATAATTTTTGTTAAAAGGTACAATTTGTAGGGCATATACAAAATACTAGTTAGCCCAATATGACCATGTTAATTAGGAGAATAATATACTGAAGAGTATGGAGAAATTACTAAATTAATAAATGAATTAGAGAAGATAAGAGAATGATAAGAACTAGGAATAAAAGAGAAGCAAAACCAGTAGTAGACTTGGTAGAGTTCCAGCATCCTATCAACTTTTGAATGAACCCATAGTTTAGGCCTCTCAACCTTTTACAGAGTCTATTTTGAGTAGGACACAATGTTCTCTTGACTAAGAAGTAAAACAAAAAGACCAAATTATTATTTTTGACATGGAGAATTTACCCATGTTCTATATAATAAAGCAATTAGGATATGTCAAGTATTTTGATAATAATTTGTAATTTAAAGTACTTTAAATTACAATGTCACTGTGCCAGAAATTATATTTTTACAGAGTGCTCCAATTAAAAACTTAAAATATAAAACTATTTTAAATATGACACCAAAAAGTTAAATCTGTTTCATTTTGTATCACAAAAAAATTGTCATCAATGTAAAACTTAGAGAAACAAAAACCGTATTTCAAATCAGAGGTTTTAATAAGATAATCTTCAGGCAGGATAAATATAAAAATTGAATTCCTTTCTACAGATTCAAAAGCAATAAATACTTATTTTTAAGGTGACCTGGCTCAATAAAATACACGCAACTTTTTTGTAATCTCAAATTCAATTTGCGTCAGTGACCAGTTCTCCAGTCACTGATTCAAAATAAGAGAAACACTTAAAAGCAGACTAAATAAATGCACTTAAACTCCAAATATTTAAACTCCAACAATAAAACACTGGTGCATGCTCCCCCAAAGTGTAAATGAATTGGCATAAATTAAAAAACAAAAACACAAAAATAAAAGTATTAATGTTACTACTGGAAAAAAATAAAATGATGTATTAAATTTATAGTAAATATTATTAAACATGTTAAGCAATTATGTTTTCCAGCATGAGATCATCCAAGATACAAAGCAAAACTGCAGGATGAAGAATTAAAAAAAAAAAAAAAAAACCCACGCATATATGAAGGGACTTCAAAAAATCTGTGGAAAAATGTAAAAGATAATCAGAATCTTTCCATGTACTTTCTGAAGACCCTTCGTAAGTAACACAACCAAACATAAAATGTAGAAACCACAACAGCTGGCAAATTATGAAGACTTGCAAAGAAACTGGTCCATTTTACTTTTAATATTTAATTCCTACCAATGAAAATAGTAATGGAGAAGTATTTGTGTTACTAGCAAAATGTATAATTCTTACCATCTTCAGACGCTGTTCCTAAATAAGAGAAATAAAACAATATTTCAACAAATTCTGCCAGTGCTGATGTTACGACCTACCTTGCAATCCCCACCCAAGAGTAAAATGAAAGAGTGAAAACAAATAATAACTTTTAGTCTGACAGCCTTAAATTAACTTTGAAAAGGTTCATTTTGAAAAAATTTTTTGAAGTAACCTAATGATTCACAGCACACACAAAAACTTGAAACTAGACAACTGAAAATGTCAAAATTCTATAGTAAAGCTTTTTATCTGTAATATAAATGTTTCATTCTTAAATGGTGAAAAAAACTAGAGAGATTAATCACTCAAGAAAGATGCAACTCTGTAGTTAACTCTTCTTTGCAAATGAAGATTTTCTTGAGGGGGGGGCGGCTGGTAGGGGGATCTAAACCCTTGTCCTTGGTGTTATAATACTGTACTCTAACTAACTAAGCTAACAGGCCAGCTCTGCAAATGAAGATTTTTATGGACCTTTCTAGGGTAGAAATACTTTCTGTGCATTTTCAAAAGGTAGCCCATAAAAGAACTAAAAAAAGCTAACATACACATGGGAATCAAATCCATGACCTAGGTCTCATTTGCCCAGTATTTTCATTAAAGCATCTACAAAGACAAAGACCTATCAATCCACTTCATCAGCTATTTACTCAACATTTACATGCACTCTCCAAGATGCCAATGAAATCTATCAAAAATGATGAAGTACAAACATCATAACTCACTACTACTAAAGGACAATAATATATGTCTCTGAATTTTTTTTAAACACAGGATTAAATACCAGTGAGAGTAACACATCATATAGCAGAAGTGACTACTCAAATAAGTTATTTCTGACCCGAACAAGAAAATATTTTGATCTGGAAAATGATAAAAATTTGTTTTTAAAGGATTCAGAATATTATTTTTTTTAAACACAGGATTAAATACCAGTGAGAGTAACACATCATATAGCAGAAGTGACTACTCAAATAAGTTATTTCTGACCTGAACAAGAAAATATTTTGATCTGGAAAATGATAAAAATTTGTTTTTAAAGGATTCAGAATATCAGTACCAGAAGGGACACCAAAAGGTATGATACATAGAAACTATCTCTTGAGGTGCTGTCATTTCATTCAATAAATTTTTACTTATGAAATACTTTAATCACACAGGAAAGCAGAGACTAACACATATAACTAGCACTAAGGTACCCAACCCAAGATTAAATAAATGTTCCATATCACTAAAATAGAAGACACATTAAGTGAATTTTTAGAATTTATGTAATAACTGACAGAAAAACATACAGTGTCTCTATTTTTCCTAAATCTTACAATGCAACTTACAGATTCAGTATTTTATTAAAAGTTTTTTTAAAAAAGCTCAAGCTCCTACAAGGGAAGGTGCAGATAATATGCTGTCTACTATCAGACAAAAAAATATACAGGTTTGTTACTGAACCAAGCAACTGCAGATAAACTGTAATCATTTGCATATTAAAATTAAAAAGGCAAAGCTTAAAGTAAGTTCAGTTTTGATTAAATGTTAGTTTAAAATTCATTCTTAAAAAGACAGCATCTGGGCCGGCCCGGTGGCGCACTGCTACAGTGCGCTGCTTGGGAAGCGTGGCAGCGCTCCCGCCGAGGGGTCGGATCCCAAATACCGACCGGCCGCTCACTGGTTGAGCGAGGTGCAGGAGCAACACCGAGGGTTGTGATCCCGTTGCCGGTCATGAAAAAATACAAAAAGGAAAAAAAAAAAAAAAAAAAAAAGACAGCATCTGTAACTTGCATTTCATTTTCATAAACAATCGGATGAACCTTTGAGATATGTCATTTGTCTCTCTGTATCAGTTAGCAAAAAAAGATAAAGAGTTGAATTTAATGACTGAATCCAATATTTTAGAGGAAGACTTAAGAAACAGAATATTCAGAGGCATACTTCTAAGAGCTCAGGTAAAAATGTTTAAGATAATCTCCTTAAGTTACAACAAACAGTAACCTAGTATTTGAGTAGATTAGGAAACCCAAATATGAATATGCCTAACCCAAAATTCAATCACAGAATTATGTAGCTATTTTCACATTAATATTATTGCTAAATAAATAGCATATTTTCAGAAATTAAGAGAAGAATGAACAAGGACATTATACAGAATCCAAGAGCCATAAAAATCTTTAGAAGAATTAGAAAAGGAAGTTCTTACCATCCATCTTGTCAGAAGTATCCTCTTTGATGAAAGAGCAAGCAAAGAACAGAGGAAGACTTAGTACATTAGAAAAAATGATTTTATAATTCCTAGAAAAAATTAAAAAAAAACCCCAGAATTCATAGCAGACATATATATCAACTAAAACATACTAGGAGATTAAATGAGATCAGGTTCCCATGTGAAATAAAGACTATACCTAGTGTACTAAGTAGAGAATTAAAAAAAAAAAAAAATTACAAATGAGTCTGATTTTCACTAGCCTAGAAAGAGAAAAGCCAGTGAAGCCCATGTTCCAACCTTGAACCCCTGCCATCATGAGGCAAATTTCCTCATGGTCTGCTAGTTTCTACCAGATAGTCACTTTGCCTTGCTTCTTAAATCCCAAAATTCCACTCCTTAGCCCTCTCATCATTATCCTCTGTTTACTGCCTTGTTGCTTTCTGACCCCCATCCTTTCTCAGAACTTTCAGCCCTTATAAATCCTCACATCTGGATAAATCTAGCAACTTACTTTCTCTACTCCACTACTTGAGGTGCCCCAGTAAATTACAGAACCTTCGAAGTCATGCATACTGACATTACTAGAAACTGAAATAATTATCTGACTTGGCATTTAGTGCCTATGCAGAAATGAGTTAGCATAGCAGGATTTATGTTGCTCTTAAGAAGGGCCTGCTTGGGGGCCTGGCCTCTGGTAACTTAGTTTTGGATGCTCCCTGTGTTAATGATCAGGTTATAAGTATGTATATGAGGGGTGGGGGCAATGAACTCTGCTACATCAGTTTGCCTTAACTGTTTTTGCTAACAATATGATTTATGGCGAACAACTGCTTTCTTTTGGGGAGTCTGGAATTCTGGTAATTGTGGCTGGCTGTGCAAGCAGAGTGCTTATGTGACTACCCTCACTCCCCTCCCCAAACCTGTACTCTGAATCTTAAGCAAGCTTCCCTGGACAGAAACGCTGTGCACATGTAGCTGCAAGGAAGGAGCAGCCTCACAACTGCACCTCTGGGAGGGAGAACTTTGAAAGTCTGCCTAGACTCCTCCAGACTACCTGATAAGTCTTTTTCCCTTGCTGATCAGGCTGTGTATCCTTTTGCTCTAATAAACCTCAGCCATGAGTATAGCTGCCTCTGAGTCCTGTGAGTCCTTTTAGCAAGTCCCCAAATGTGTTAGGCATTATGGGAATCCCAAAAAGTGCCCAATCTCTTGTGCTCCCTCAATGGCTATTCTAAACCTCAAGGCATCTCTTAGCACCTGATCTTGACTGAATACTCAGGCAAAGTCACAACCACCTCCCTGATCACTCTTCTTAATGTCCACTCCCCCCAAATATCATATCTGAATCTATTACCTCCTTTATTTCCTTTATTTCTCTTTTATTTCCTTCCCTTCTACCTCAGTGAAACTGGTGACTCTTCACATCCAAAGCTAACTCCCCAGCTATGCTCTATACATACCACTCCTCTTGCGTGCCATAGGAACCTGGCTGTGATTTACCTTCTCTCATCTCTGCACTTCTAAATTTTCCTTCTCTACTGACTTACCACCTTTGTACACAAACATATTTAACTCCTCCAATCTTAAAAAACAGTAAATTCCTGAGACTTGAACTACAGATCATTCTTACAGTGCTCTTTCATCCATTTTCTTGACCATCAAGTATAGGACTAATTTATACAGATTCTCCTTCCAACTTCTTCCTCAACCAGCTGAAATCTGACTTTTGACCATATGACCTCTCTAAATAAACCACTAATAAAACCATTTACTTTCTTTTCTATTTAAGCAATTCCATAAGCTCAGTTGTTAGAATAAATATTCTTAAATAGGCATACTGCCTTGGATTGAATTGTGTCCCCCAAAGTCCATGTATTAAAAACTTAACCCCCACTGTGACAGTGTTAAGAGGGTGGGAAATCCTATTATGGTAACTGAAAGGTGGAGCCTTGAAGAGGTGATTAGATTGTGAGGACCATGCCCAAGTAAATAGATTAATCCCCTTGATGGTTTAATGGTGGTTGTGGGCATGGTTCTGAGGACTTTAAAAGGAGAAAGGATGAGGAGTTAGTGCTCTCTGCTCTGCCATTCTGCCATGTGAGATCCCTGCATCATTGTCACCACCATCAACGCTTTCACCACATGTGTTCCCTGGACTTTGGACTTCCTGCCTCCAAAAGTGTAAGCAGTAAATATTGCTTCATTATGAATTACCCAGTTCAGATATTTTGTTATAGGCAACAGAAACAGACTAATACAAAGACATATATCAAGGTTTCCTTAACATAAATTCCTGACTGTCTCCTATCACACCAAGCTTCCTCTTCTAGCTGAAGTTAAAGGGCAAACTTCAAAACACTCACGATATCCCTGCTTCCAAAGGATTCAGTACTTTAGGAAAAACAAAAACAAAAACAGAAAACCAGTGACAGCTGCTTTAAGGAATGTATTGAGTTTTAAATTAATTACAGTAATAAAACTTTTATAATGATTTCCAAATCTAATTTCTAGCACAGATCACTCTCCTGAGTTCATATCACTATATCCCAACTGTCCCCTGAACACTTCCAGTTTAGGTTTCACAGGGACTTCAAACTCAAAATGCATAAAACTCAACAAACCTTCAGCTGCTCATCCCTCAGCAACCTACTGATAGACTCAGAGATTTCAAGTACAGAAGCATACACCTCTGGATCCCTGGGTACCTAGCAGGGTGCCTGGGAAAAACTATGTTCTCAATATGTGTTTGCTGTAAATGAACAGAATACTCCTACTGATCCATACATGGTCAGCCATGATAAGCAAAGCTCAAAGTAGAAGGAAACAGAGTACACTAGTTGCACGCGTATAAGAAAAGTGCATGAGAGACGAGGGTGGAGGGGGGTAGAGGGAGAGAGGGAGAGAACAAGAATATCTTTTATCTGATCTCTGGAAAGAGCCACGACAGGTAGCAGATTATCCCTGAGTGTGAACCTGGCCTAGATGAAGAAAAGAGGAAAGGGGAACACCTTTTCCTTCTATAATGAAACAAACATGCACTTCAAACCTTAAAGAACCAAAGAAATAAATGAAGTCAATCTCATGGCTTTCTTATGAAAAAATTATTGTTACATTGTTGCAAGTTGTCACTCTAGTTCACATTAAAGCATTTAAAATACAATATTTTTCTTCAGGTAATAAAAATAATAGATATTCAACATAATGTATTTATTTTTAAGACTCAGGATAAATAGGTCTTTTTTTTTTTTTTCCAGTTTTCTTCCCACCTAAAAAAATTGAGATATAATTCACACATAACATAAATTCACCTTTTTATAGCATACAACTCAGCGTTTTAAATATATTCAGAAGGTGCAATCCTCCTCACTATCTAATTCCAGAACTTTTTCATCCACTCCCCTCCCCAAATTCTGCTAATTCCATTAGCAGTCACTCCCTGTTCCCCCAACTTCTAGCCCCTAGCAACAATTAATTTACTTTCTGATTCAGTGGATTTGTCCATTCCATACATTTCCTATAACTGGAGTCATACAATAATTGGCTGTTTGTCTTACTTCATAATGATTTCATATGTTGACCTGTTTCATAACATGCATTACATTGATTGGTTTTCATATATTGAAATAACCATGCATTCCTAGCAATTTTTTAAACAGAAAGTTATCTGAAAATTAAAATCACTAATCAATCCACTGTTAACATCTTTGGACATATCCCTCCAGTCCTTCATCTATGTGTAATTTCACACAAAATAATGAAGTTACCACACACTATTTGGTAGTCCATATCACTTGGTTTTTGTTGAAAATAAGTATATACCATAACTTATTTCCTCTTTGTTTCATATTAATTCTGACTCTAACAATATCTATTATTAAAACCACAGTGAATTTTTTTTTACTCCTTGACACAATTATCTAAACATTGGATTACTGCATCAAAAATTCTGAACATTTAAAAATGCTTCATGGGTATTACTAAATTGCCACTCAGAAAAAGAGTCTCATTATCAGTTCACATTAGCACTGCTTGATAAGGCCCTTTTACCACACTCTCATCAATAGTGGGCACTAACCATAACTTTATTATTATATTTATAAGTCTTTCAATTGCATTTGTTTGATTCCAGCTAACGTTCAACATTTCTTCTGGTGTTTATTGGCAATTTTTTTTTTTTTTTTTTCTTTTTGTCTTTTTCCGTGTCCGGCAACGGATCGCAACCCTCAGTGTTGCCCCCATACCGGACCGGGGACCGGCAACGGGATCGCAACCCTCGGCGCTGCTCCCGCGCCTCGCTCAGCCAGTGAACGGGCACCGGTCCACATGTAGGATCCGAATCCTCGGGCGGGAGCGCCGCCGCGCTTCCCAAGCAGCGCACTATCCAGTGCACCACCGGGCCGGCCCTTGGCAATTTTGATATACGCTTTCCTTGATATATGTAGAATTTTTTTCCATAAAAATAAGCTTATCTGTTTCTCATAGACTTGAAAAACTTCTTGACATTTTAACTTTTTTGTAGGATGTGTCAAAAACTTTTTCCCTTTGTTTTTAGCCACCCGATTTCATATTTTTACACTTTAGATTTAAATTTGAGAGACTATTCCATAACCGTTTCTTTGTTTTTATGTTTAGATATTCCTTTCCCAACCTCAGATTAGATAAATACTTACCTACTATGTTTTTGTCAAATTACTTTGTGTTTCTGTTCAGTGTTTGAGCCATTTGGAGTACATTTTTATATGGTGTAACATGGTTCTAACTTAATTTTATACCAAAGTGTAAACCATGTGTCTAAACAACATTTACTGAATAACCTATCCTTTCTTCATGGTTCTGTGCCAACACGAACAACATTACAGCTGTGCCAACTTCATCATGTACTACATTTATATTTAAAATCTCTGCACTTCTTGTGTCCCAATGATCTGCTTGCTTAGTGTGCTACAAATACTAGCCAAGAGAAAGAAAAATGGAGCATAAAATGGAAAGAATAGATAACCAATCCCAAACTTTTAATCTGATAGACATAAAAACATAAAAAACCAAACTCTGAATAGCTTTTGGAACATATGTTTAAGGTTTGGTTATACATAGAAGGGCTCTGCAGTTCTCCCAGATCCCCAAAAGGCTTTAAATTCTCAGTAAGGGAACAAAAGAAGAAGAAAACAGAGAAGCTAGATACAAGGCCAATGCCCTTCCCAAACTCCTTTAGTAATCAGTGGCTGGATGTGGCAAAAGTGCAGAGTTACAAATATTCTATAGGCAATTGTGGAGTCAAGAATTATTTCTTTGATTAAAATGATGAGGAGGAAGACACAAAGGGAAAAGTGGAAACAAGGCAGCTCAGATACCTCAGAACAGTGTCCCCTCTATACAATCATATTAAAACATATCGACTATCCTTACCTGGCAAGAATAAAATAGAAATTATTAAGATATATCACCTTGTTTTCAAGGAGACCAGGGAGAGAACACTGTACAATTTCTCATAGTTAGTTGTCTTACCTAGTGATGCATAGGAACCTGGATTCAGGGCACCTGCACCTAACCGCCCGTTTCGCACAGACTGTCCAGCAGCATGATGTGCCTTGGCACCAGCAGCAGCATTCACATCAATGTCACTTCGTGAGCGTTGCAGGCTTCCTGGAAGGGAACTGGATTTGCTACTGCCTGATGATACTATGGAAGACAAAGCAAGGGTAACCTGTATTATTTAGATCACTGCAAACAGCATGAAAATTACATAAACTTGAAACCACCATGAGCTAATCCATGATGACAAATGGCTAATAAAAAGGTAGTGGCCAAATGGACAATACTGTAAAGTATTTTAAAGTCAGAATGCCTCAGTTTCAATCCTGGCACAAGTAATTCTTCTTGCGCAATTTTCTCAATATTACTCTGCCTCATTTTCCTCTTCCATAAAATGGGGAAAACAACCAGGTTTTGACTAAAATTCATAGAACTGTTTTGTAGCTAAAGAGAAATGATGTTTATAACTGAATTATAAAAATGAAGCACTGTACAAGATAAATAGATGGCAGCAGTATTATTTTTTTTACTATCAGAAAAATGCAAGAAAACTAATTCAAAAGTAGGGATACTCAGAAATTAAAGGCGGTTATGTCGCTATTAGGTAATGCAAATTAAGTCATCAAATTTCTGGTCTTTAGTTTTTTCAGTTTTAAAAAGAAGGAGTTTTATAAACTGTGAGTCATGAACCATTAATAGAATCTGAAGTCAACTGAGAGTGTCATGACCAGCATTTTAAAGAAATGAAACAGAATAGAAAACAGAGTACACTGCAAGTAAGGGTAAATACCGCTTTATGGAACTCTGGTTTATACTATATATGCAAGTATACACAAGTACAGTATATATGTGTGGCACTGGGTTATCATGTAAAATGATTTTCTCACTGTGGATCACATCAAAACAGTGTAAGGGCTACTGCCTAAGAGACAGAATAGGCTATAACTATTACTTAAAAAGGCAATTACCTCTTCCAGACACAGTTGATGGATTTGCTGTAGACCATTTGGAAGAAAAAGGGCGACTACAATGTAAAAGGAAATGCTTTTAGTAAGAAGAATTAATTTACCATTCCTCTGATAACAACTAATGAAATACTACTGAGTTTTCCGAAAAATTGAGAAGTACTTCTAATTTTAACTTCGCTTTTACATATCACTTTAGAACAGTTGTTCTCAAACATATGTTATCACATATCAATGGTATTTCAATTAGCTATGAAGCAAAAATAAAATAACTGGCAATGAATGAATGAAGACTATAAGCCCTACACAGACAGGGATCAAGCTGCTTTTGTTCACTCTCGTTCTTAGCACACATCATCATAGTGCCAATCACAGAGGATTCAATAACAGCAGTATCAACCACTAGAATCCTGAGATATTTACTCAGATGGAGAAAAAGGTAGTGTTATTACTAACACATATGTAACTCAGTGTAATCAAAGCCTCTCTCACCTAAGTCATAATGGTTGTGGCAACTGGCAGATAATTCATGCAGTTATCACACAGGTATCACACTCCCTACACGAAGTGCTATTGTTACTGTGTTGGACAACAAAAACAAAGCTAAGAACAATTGCTGAGGATGACATGTATGATTACATAATGATGGTAGCAAAGCATTTCTAATCATCTCAAAGAACCCAACATCTCCCTTAAAATCTTTTTTGGTTATTTATCTTTAATTACAATGGTACTCTGCCGTCCTAATGATTAAAAACACATTTTAGTATGCAGTGGGGATCCAGAAAGTGTATCTATAAGTTTAAAGGAGAAGGGAAGAGAGGAGCAAAAACCCCAAACGGGTTAGTACTAGGCTATTGGAAAATATTCTTTAAGTTATATTATCAAATGGTAAATTTGATATTGCTATTAAATCCAACACTATTTTTTTATTATTTTTATAACTGTCCTCTAAAATTGTTATCCTCTTAGACTGAGGCAGGCCATTTCTTTTTTTTTTTCCTTTTTGTCTTTTTTTTTCGTGACCGGTAACGGGATCGCAACCCTCGGTGTCATGCCCGTACCACGACCGTCAACGGGATCGCAACCCTCGGTGTCACGCCCGCACCGCACTCAACCAGTGAGCGGACTGGTCTCTACATGGGATCCGAACCCTTGGCAGGAGTGCCGCCGCGCTCCCAAGCACCGCACTCTACCGAGTGCGCCACCGGGCCAGCCCGAGGCAGGCCATTTCAAGGGTCACAAAAGTTAAAGTTGTTTATGTTTAAAGATGTTGTACTAGGGTAAGATAAAATATCTTCTTTAGATCCTCGATATGAATCACTGTACTCTTTACCCAAAGAGAAGAAGTTATGCTGGCATGTAATCAAACCCTGGAAAGAAAATAAGTACATTCAAGTCACCATTCTTTCAAGGCTTTAGGTGAAAGCAAGCACATATTCAGCCATCCAACTTAATGAACTTTGGAGAATTGGGGAGAGGAACAGATCAGTAATTATCACTTATATAACCTTACTTGAGACTTTCTTGTGAGCTAGATGAGGACCTGTCTGATTGTGGAAGAGATGCTACACTGCCAGAACTCTTTAAGTAAGTTTGAAGACTCTTCTGATAAGATGGTTCAAGGGAATTATACAGTGTTTCAGCTTCACCAGGAAAGTGGCTCCTGAGACCCATATATGTCCTGTAAAAGAAAGAAAAAGAAAAAGAAAAAAAGAAAAGCACATGAAATAATTTCTTTACATGATTAGATATTTAGAGGAAAATGTGTACATTAAGAAGGATAAAGATGAGCCCAGAAGTTTTAATACATCTGCTATGTGCCAGGTGAATACTTTCTAAATTTAACAAGTTCCAGTGGAAAGATAGTAAGTTTTTGAAAAAAGAAGATCTCAGTTCAAAAGCTCATTGTGTGAAAAGATAAATAAAATTGACAAATCATTAGCATGGCTAACAAAAAAAAGAAGAGAGAAGATTCAAATAACAAAAATTAGAAATGAAAAACGTGATATTACAACTGATTCATCTGAAATACAAGGAATCATTCGAGACTACTATAAACAACTATACACCAACAAATTTGAAAATCTGGAGGAAATGGATAAATTTCTGGACACACACAAGCTCCCAAAACTGAGCCATGAAGACCAAGAAAATCTAAACAGACCAATAACAATAAAGGAGATTGAAGCTGTTATCAGAAGGCTCCCAACAAAGAAAAGCCCAGGACCAGATGGATTCACAGCAGAATTTTACCAAACATTCAAAGAGGAATTGACCGATTCTTTACAAACTATTCCAAAAGATTGAAACAGACTCAAATCTCCCAAACTCATTCTATGAAGCAAACATCATCCTGATACCAAAACCAGGTAAAGATATAACCAAAAAGAATACTACAGGCAGATATCCTTGATGAATATAGATACAAAAATCCTCACTAAAATACTAGCAAACAGAATACAACAACACATACACAAAATTGTACACCATGGTCAAGTGGGATTCATCCCAGG